TCATTGATTCTCTTGTTGATCTTTAATCGGTCTCGTCACTGTGACTAGGTTATTATTATGTTCAGTCATGGCTGAATGGAGAGGGCTGGGCATATTGATGTTGTGTACTAATTTAGTCATAGCAGGATGTGGTAGTAAAGAACTGATTCTAGCACTCTCCATGCTGCAATCCTTTGTGTCCATATATGGTAGTGCTCAGGCATGTACTTTGCATATAAATATGATAAATGACGCAATACAAAGTAGAGAAATACAAGTACTCAACATGCCATATATGTCAAGAGTCCTCTCAGATTTAGCAATATCATTAGGCCTATATAGCTGTCACATACATGTACATGTAGAATCAGTTTCTGTTGCATGTTTAGGGTTACGATGATTGTCTCACAACTGCTCATAAGAGCAATCTTATTTCATTTTCTCACAATTATTCAGTTCTAGTTAGTTATATTTACCCCAGCGTACAAGAAGTAACAAAGCAAGAAACGTTAACATTTCAATTTGAAAAAGGTCTAATGCGGAACACAACTGAAATGGTCCCATCCAATTACCCTAATCTAATCCATTTAACCTCTCTGTCAGTCCAAGGGTGCATAATGAATGGGATTTTGCCACTTTGCTCCAAGCTTAAAAGCTTTTAAATCAGTGACGTTTAACAGGATTTTGCTTTTAAACTGCTAAATGTACACACATAGATGTAGATATAGTCCTAACATAGCAGTCTTACATGCCAAATGGGTGGGAAGACATCTAATATGAAAGGGAAAATGTTTCAATCTCTGCCCCCCCCCCTCCTCTCCCCCTTTTGCCCTCTTCTCCCCCTTTTCCCCTCTCTCCCCTCTCTCCCCTCTCTCCCCTCTCTCCCCTCTCTCCCCTCGCTCTCCCTTCCCCTCCTCTCTCTCTTCCCTCCCCCTCCTCTCTCTCTCCCCTTCCCCTCTCCCCTCCTTATCTCTCTCCCCCTCCCTATCTATCTCCCCCTCCCTATCTCTCTCCCCCTCCCTATCTCTCTCCCCCTCCCTATCTCTTTTCCCTCCCCCTCTCTCTCCCTTTCCACCTCTCTTTCTCTCTCTCCTTTACTAGATAATAGATCCTAAATTGATACAGATATACTTGATATTAGATTAATACTGGTAGCTGATATCTTGATTCGTATACTGTAGAAATCTACACATGTAATTGTGCCCACTTGAAGGGTGGATGAAGCCTAGGCCTCCTGCTGCTTCATAGCCATATGATGCTGTTGTTTATGGATGCACTTCAGTGATAACCTTAGGCATGTGGTTTTGGTTTCTCCCCTCCCCCCCCCCCCCTATTTAGTAGGGTTACTGCATTTGAATGTGTCAACAAGGTTTATCCACATTATATTCAGACTAAATATAAGATTTCAGGTATTTCAAAAAATTTGCACTGAAATTTTGCAACTCAGAAGTGAAGATATATACAATTCACAAACTGAATTTCAATTTAATTCAAGATACCGTTTATGCTGTAGAAATAAATGGACATCATTTCAGATGACCTTTGCCATGGCTCTAAAATGGAGGTTGCGGAAGAAGTTTCGCAGTACAGGGGGTGTTCAGATATGGAAGTCAAAATATGACTTACCGACGATGAAGAAAGTTACCATAGGACCCCACACAGGACCAAAATGCTGATCAGACTATCAAAATTACAATGTTCATGAAGTAGGCATTAATTGTCAAAAATATCCACAACATTATTGTTTATGCAAAGAGTATGGGGTTGTGACTGAAGCCTTGCTTAAAGAATAACAATATGCTAAATGTTTGTATTACATTACATTGGGACAAGGCTACCAGGGAGGGATGTCAGATAACTTGATACCTTACCAGCATATTTAGGACAAGGGAAAAAGCAACTAGCCATGTTCACATTTTCAAGACTAGAGAAAAACTGTTTGAAGAATTAAAAGGCATTGCTAATGGAAAAAAAACGCAGAAACTCCACATTAATGAATTTCATGATTGTATCAGATTCGCAAAAGTTTTATGCCACAAAATAATTGAATAACAAATTGAATTTTAACTGACATAGCACTATGTATGTGTAGTTAATGATCAATAATAGGAACAAACCAATGCCTAGTGTGTGATCAATAGGAATACACCAAAGATGTGAATCCAGAGTAGCTATGTAATTACATCTTCTTCTTTTTCTGCGTGACTTCTCTTTATGTCTGCTCTGGTTAAAATACATGTACTGGTACACTAGAAATCAAAAGTTTTTTTTTAAATTGTGGTCTCATTCTATTCCTACTCTCTTATCACAATGTTCTAGTGTACAGTTCAAATTATATTGGTAACCACTATTTTTACTGCATTCTTCTTCGTAGATGAATTTCATAGAACACATTTAATTGCAATATACTGGATGTATTTGCTTGTAAGTAAAGAGGACTGTGAATAATTGATGTCGGCTTAATGATCATCATTCACAGTTGTACCATGGTTAGAGTTAATCAATAGGCTAAGCTGCTCAGTGCTTACTAAAAACGTAGAAAAACTGTGTACATGTACACGTAGGAGATTAAAACGAGCGCCATGTGAGATAATTTACATTTATTTATTCAGCTCGTATTAAAGATTTTGAATAAATTTCACCGATTCGGCTCATTAGCACGCGCGTGTGGAGCTGTGACTGCATATTTCAAACGTATAGTGACTGACTGTTGTTAACAGACACATGTAGCTAGGTAGAATTATTCATGAAGTTCTTATGCAATGTTCTATGAATAACACCTTGGCTATTTACATTTTCAATATGAATGATGAAAATGTTGAAATTGGACAAGTATGGAGGATAACAAGAAAAAATCAAAAATCTCTAGGAAGTCATCATTACAAATGTAGAGGGTTCATAGCTGCTTGTTCATATATAGCATTGTAAACCACCGCAAAAACCCTGGTTTTTAATGCGAAAATGAATGGCATCAGCGCTTAAGAAATACTTAGTAACCAAGCTCTGTGTTAGAAGATAAAAGAAATGTGAATCGTATTACACTTTACATCATTTAAAAACGCTTTTGCTTCTGAACAAGTCTTTACAGAACCAGCTTATGCACTTAGCAGTGGAAAGACTATGAAGTTCAACATCTGTGTATTGATGCATGTTAACAACTGCGAGCAAATCATTATGCAAATTGCCCATATTGTGACATCACTAGAGATAAGAACAATTTCATCAGTGTATTCAGCACTGTGTTTCTCTTGAAATGTGATCTTTTAATGTGCCTGTTGTGGTCGAATGGATACGTCGCCGGACTGTCGATCACAAGGTCCGCGGTTTGAGTCCCGCTGCCGCACTAATGTCCTTTGGCAAGACATTGATCTACAATTGCCACACTCCACCCAGGTGAAGTAAATGGGTACCTGGTAGGAATTTATTCCTTGAAACGCAGCGCGCGTAACAGCTGCACTGCTAAAGCCAGGGTAATTATGCTGCATTATTGTAGAGCGCTAGAGACTTCTGATAAAGTAAGTGTTAGGCGCTATATAAGCATTGATACTTATTATTATTCTCTTTATTGGTTTCACTGCTTTGAATACAAAAATTGCTTGTAGTTTTTGTTTAATTACTGCAATGTACAGGCATAGGTATGTATCCAAAGAAGTGCTAGTATACTTTCCCCATGAAACATTGTATCTTTCTACTACCAGTATAACTATATAAATGTAGTTGTAACTTCTCAGTCAAAGCTGTCAGAATTTTGTTTGTTTTATAACCAAGTGTAAAAGTTTGTGCCGTGTGGGAGCTCAATAAGTGACATTCCTTTCTCTGTAGTGATCTAGTGTGGGGTGAAAAGAACAATAGTTCCAAACAATGCATATAAGTCAGCCTATTGTGACAGGATGTTAGTGACAGTGAAGCTAAGCCAATATTTCCTGTGCTAGTCAGAGGAAAAGAAGCATTTCAGTTGTGAGGTGCCATGACGTGACTGAGAAAAAAACTAATCAGGGGAGAGAGAGATAGCCTTGTCAATGACCAGGAGAGACACAAATTATGACAAGGCTTTCCCTGCAGTGTCATTAGACTCAGCTGTAGAGCCTTGATTTGAGCATAATCTGTGTATTATTTTGAATAATGAGTGTGAAAGATTGTACTGACATGACCATTCTAAAAGAGTAAAACAAATACATTCTCACATGTATTGATATTTATGTTCTTCTGAATTCAGATTGCAGTCTGATATGCACTTTATGCGCTAGGCTTGCTTGACATTCATCATGAAATTGAAAATATTGAGAATATTTCTAGAAGGGGCGTGTTCTGGAAAGGGTCCTGTTTTTGTAAAAACATTTCCATGGTTATGTTACTGGTAACTAAATGGATGAATGCATACATTATGTTTCCGCATACTACTGAAACTATATATAATTGTAATGATATTTCCCTCTTTTGAAGAAAGAGCATGAATCACCACGTCCTTGTTATTCCCCTGTCCAAACATTGAAATTGTTAGTGGTTAAAACCAATTCTATATTTGTGAAGTATGGAATGCCAAGGTCAGACTCCATTGGGTGAAACCCAGCTTGAATTAGGAGTGAAAAATAAGTCATGTCTAACCGTGTTTAGAATGGCTTCATGTAGAAATATATTGTACCATGCTATTACACTGAATCTCTCGGGCCAATACTATGAATGGCACAATTAAAACCTTAGTGTCAGTACTCCTCTGTGAAGAGTTGTAGTATTTCCTTTAGCCATGCCCATTGAGATTTGACCCTTGATATATCCTTGTACAATATACTCATACATGTATATATATATTTCATATCAAATAACCAGGTTTCTGGTTGAAGTGATTATCCTGGAAGTTTATAAGGGAATTTTTTTCCTTAACAAATCATGGAATTTTATTTTTAATGTAATGGTGTGAACCTTGATAAATCACATCAAATAGAAACTGTTGAAATAGAATCTACATGTTTTTATCCACTATTACATCTCATCTTTTCTTGATATCTCTCTTTTGAATACAGACATTTACAGCATGGTGCAACTCCCACTTGAGGAAGGCCAATGCAAATATCGAAGAGATCTCATCAGACTTCTGCAATGGTCTCAAACTTATGATGCTCCTTGAGGTGATTTCAAGTGAAAAGCTCCCACCCCCAGAGCGTGGGAAAATGCGCTTCCACAAGATCGCCAATGTGAACAAGGCCCTGGACTTCATCACATCTAAAGGAGTGAGGCTTGTATCCATTGGTGCAGAAGGTATGGTTCCAAACTTTGATTTCTTTTGTATTCTACCCAAACTACTAGAACCAGCTCTGCTGTATTGCCATGTTGCACCAACTTGATTAGAATGCAATTATTACATGTATATAGTTCTGTACATTTGAAGATGACCACCCTCCCACCCGCCCGCCCCCCGTAGGTACAGGTAGAGTTCCATCTTTCCATAGGACCAGCAGCAAGGATGAGCAATTTTTTTTTTTTAACATTAGAGGGAGCTATAGCACATATTCTTGTTAACTGCTTTAACTCAACTGAAATAGCATTATCAGTCCCAACAATTAATTGAATTAGAAATTGAATAACCAAAATAGAATAGATGAGGGATCAGGTTTTAGGAGATGTTTATTGAATTTGTTATGAATCAGAGCAATTTTAAGCACCTGGGGCTGGAGGGGCATATTGCCATTGTCAGCTTTAATCAAATTTGGATGGTAGTAAAATCAATGAAAGAATTTAACTTTCCTCTACATCTTATTCAGTATAAAATAAATCCCTCTCTTTCTTTTCTATCTCCCCCTCCTATCAACTACTTTTATCTGGAACATTCTACGGTAATCTTATCAGTAGTAGTAGTTGTAGTAGTACTGAAATTTTGTATCATTAATTCTCTCTCTCTCTCTTTCTCCGTTCCTTTCCTTTCCTTTCCTTTCTTTTCATTTTTGTTTTCTTCCTTTCATTCCTATTTTCTTCCTTTCCTTTCATTCCTGTTTTCTTACTATATGCTTAGAAACATGGTGTTAAGTACTTTTTAGATGTTGCATACTATACCACATATTTTGATGTTTTCAATACCAGAAATCGTTGACATGAACCTGAAGATGATCTTGGGTATGATCTGGACCATCATTCTACGATTTGCCATCCAGGACATCTCAATAGAAGGTGAGAAAAGACATCCATCTCCCCCCCCCCCCCCCCTCCCACCCCTTCACCCTTCCCCTCCTGTGATACACTGTATCCATCAAAGTACAAATCTCTGTTCATAAATGATGTGCTAAACTGCCCAGAAACGCTTCAGCGACATGAAAACCATTTCACCTCTTGAATGAATCTCATATAAAGGTGAAACGAGCAGCAGTGTTCAACACTGCTTTTTCCCTCCCCCCCCCCCCTCCTTCCCCCTTTCTTTTTTGGCTAATTATGTATATATTTTTTTCTTCTAATTTGATTTTAGGAAGTTTTCCTCAACATTTTTGAACAGGGCTTTAGGAGATGATTATCTGTAACACAAACACCAATACATATTTATAGCTCTATTGTTTACATGAATTTCAAATGAAGAGAAATTAGTTAATAATATTGAATGAATTTAGATATTGATCTAAAAATCATGAAAAGAGATTATGCTATTTTGAATAAGTAAATTTTGTACCATTTACATGTTAACTCTCGTACCCTATGACGCCAAATTGTAAAGCGTCTTTGCATCAAGAAAAGTGAGATCATTTGACTTTCACTGTTACTTTCAAAAGCTATCTTTAAAGCTATCGTTAATAGGAAGGAGAAATCAATTTGTCTTTGCATGTCATTGCATGGTTTCTTCTGAAACTGGATACTAATTAAAACAATGATTTTATGGACTGTAGAACTGCTTGCATGTCATATATTACCCAATTAATGACCAAGTGAGACTTCTTGAAGATGACACCAAAGTTTCAGTAACCATTTAATATTATTAGCTCTTGAGAAGATAACTTTGGATGAAGAATGGGATATATATGACATGGGAAAGGAAATGCATCGACTCCGTTCTTTAAAGCATTAATAACACGTTAATATTTTTCAAAAGAAAGGAAAAACAAAGGGTACATAATATATACATGTATTGCCTTTCAAAAAATTTGTTTTAAATGGCACAATCTTTGCTATTGGTATTCACAGTATCAAATCAAAGAGTAATTTTCCCTGAAATACATTTTATTTTATAAAATGCATTTGTTAGTAATGTAAATGAATGGCATGATGTTTGTGTCATTGTAGACTTCTGTAATGTATGCTTGTTTGAAAAATATTAAGCTTTATTTTCTTCACAAACTTTTTCCAGGCTTGTATATTAAAATCATTATGATGTTTTCAACAATTATTTTTGCTTGCTTTCATACCCTGGAGAGAAAAAAAAATGAAAGGTCCATGTACTATTTGAAATCCATTTACAACCAGTGATTGACCTTTACTATTTGACCTTTTCCTTTTCATAAGTTGATAGTACCCCTGTCACACCAACCAGACTGACACCAGGGGGGTGTTTCACAAAGATTCTAAGTTGGACTTAAAAATTATGGAAAGCAGTTAGCATCTTTGAAAATATTTTGTAAAAGTTATTTTGAAAGGCATAAAATGTTGATTCAAATCATTCATATTTTCTATCATCAAGGAGATTTCATGTTCTTGGTGTGGAATTTATTAAAAAAAAAGTCTAAAATACTTGAATTTTTGCTTTTGAATATATTTCATTTTAAGGCTCCAATGGCTGTCCATAATTTTTAAGTCCAACTTAGTGTTAAGTTCTACTTAGGATCTTTGTGAAACACCCCCAGACCGATTAAAACGTTTCATTAGCCTGAAAATGGCCCCAAATGAGTTGGTTTGGAATGAGTGTGATGGTGTGGCTGAGGTATCACTCTTATGAGGAAGAGGCTGTATTTGTTGGTAGTTGTTTTAGTATTGCATGTTGCTCATATCTTACCCGTATCGTTCACACATTCATCTTATTACGCTTCCACAATATTATTTGTTTATATTATTTTCATCACCATCCACTTCCTATATTTTGAGAGATGGACATTAAAAAGAAAGAGGAGATCCCGATAGTTACATATGTTGGCGGACATTTAGAGTAGATCAAAGTTTTCACACATACACACAATGAGACCGTTGCAACTAAATTTGTTGTACTATTGCTGGTAATGCATTGTACCTTGACATAATTGTCAACTACATTTCAATTCATCTTAGCAAACCCTAGACATATCATGGTATCCTAATAGGAATTAAATGAACAGAGAAGACCATTTCATGTTTTACATGTTTGCAAAGATGTTCTAGAATTGTTAAATGTCTTGTATTGTGTGCTTGCCTAGGAGTACACTTTCTAGGGATCTGACTATTAAACTCTGCATTGACATTTTGATTGACCAAATTGGCACTTAAGTGCCCCAAAATTGCACCAAATATAGATGGCTTGATTGATGAATGCAATTCAAAGTTTTAACAAAAGTAAATAAAAATTGTCGCTTTAGACTAACCTTTGTGGTAGATCCTAAACATCCATTGGAGTGATGGGTTGATGTGTGAATCTAATCTTCTAACCTTGTGATCCGCGTTTCATTGACTAACCTATCTAGTCATCTTGACTAACCTATCTCAAATTGATTTCTCTCCGACAATTCTGTACTTGCCATCTTGTCTTGTAGTGGCTGTTACATTACAGCCATTTACTCTGGACAGGATATAGTCCACTTGTCAAGTCCATTTCTTTTATCTGACTAACTGTTCTAATGTGTCCTAGTCATCTTGACCAGGCAATCTTCTATTGATCTGACTAGTCTATCCTAGTCGGATCCTCTTTTCTGACCACTAGTCTCTTCTATCACACACAACCCATGCCCACTCTTGCCCCGTATGCTGCTCCCGCAATCTAGATCACTCTGCCAAGGAAGGCCTTTTGCTGTGGTGTCAGCGCAAGACTGCCCCCTACAGAAACGTCAACATCCAGAACTTCCACAATAGGTAAACAAATTGTTGCTGTAAACAACAATAGAAGTACATGAGTCAGGTAAACGGTATTGTTGTGTTATTAACATAAAACATTGTTTTTTCAGGTTTCTTTCTTTGTGAACATACCCACACAGCATACGCATCATATTTGTCAATCTCTCATTCTACTGCATGTCACCTTTTCTTACCTGTATGTGTTTTTAACCTCTCATCAAACCCCCATCCCATTTTTCATGCGGCATATTTTTTTTCTCCATTAGTACGCTGGCACAACTAGGAAAGTGCTTGATTAATGCATGGCATGGCTCGTTTGTTCCCTCAATGTTGGATTTTCAAGTTTGTGTTGTCTCTTGCACAGATAATACTGCAAAAGCTGGTCTCTTACTATGGTGTCAACGTAAGACCGCTCCCTACAACAACGTCAACATCAAGGACTTTCATATGAGGTGACTGAAACGATATCAAACAAAACAAAGCTATTTTTTAATCAGAACTTAAGCTCTAAAGAAAGAAAGAAAGTCTTCAGGATAGAATTTCTGCCACACAATGTTATTGCATATGTTTATTTGATATCCTGAATTAATCTTCTCAATTGAAATTCTATCAGTTCTGATTTTTAAATTTTGTTACTTTTTAATCAATCTTGATGAGAACACATTGACCATACACGCTGAACTCGCCCTCTCATGTGTTCCATAAGTCGTCTCTACCAACATCTATTGATCCTTATTTGCACATTGTGCAGTAAAAAATTAAAAATTATATAACTAAAGTGGCAAAATAAACCTTTGGGTGATATTGGTTCATGCAACTAATGTCCCGACACTTGTTTGATTTTATTTTGTCCCATTTTTAAAGGGTGGTTTACTGTGCCATGTGTAACTGAAGCCCTTCAGTGTTATCAACAATAGAACATGAACTAATAAAGACCACAACAGGTAGTGATGGTCCTTCACTTGCTCCAGTAACATTGTCCTAGAAATCCATGTAGTCAGACCATGATTTCTCTGTGTATAGATATGTAATGTTTCATAATAGGACTCATGTCTTACTTAGTTACTAGTCTTGTCAAAGTCGAGCTTGTTCCTGGTCCAGGGTAGTCCTGGAACTCATTTCAAAGAGAATTTTTGTTTTCCCTTTCATTCACCTAGGATTAGTTTTGACAAAAACATCATTATGATATTTATTTTCAATGACTTACATTTTCTGTAGTTACTAGCGAGAGATCTTTAGAATTTTGTTTATGGACAGAAGAAGTGGCATAATTTAAACAGAATTGTGATAAGTTTTACTCATGAAGTGTTTTCACAGTTGGTGCTCTTTACCCTGGTGAAGTAAGTGGGTACCTAGTAGGGAAAAATTCCTTGAAAGCTTCAGTGCCTTATGGTAACCCAACTGAATTTAGGTGAAAGGAGTGTAAGCATTATGTTTCTCAAGAAAGAAAACAACTTAATAAATCAAATTGTCATCATTACTACTATTATTTAGATTGTTATGGGTAGGAAAAACAAATTTTATATAGGTACAAGTCAATGTTCATAATGTCTTTTAGGAGTGTAAGCATAATGTTTCTCAAGAAAGAAAACAACTTAATAAATCAAATTGTCATCATTACTACTATTATCTAGATTGTTATGGGTAGGAAAAACAATTTTATATAGGTACAAGTCAAATGTTCATAATGTCTTTTAGGAGTGTAAGCATAATGATTCTCAAGAAAGAAAAAAACTTAATAAATCAAATTTTCATCATTACTACTATTTTCTAGATTGTTATTGATAATGTCTTGTAAAATGAATGTTGTTTATTCTAGATCCTTGCATCCTGTAATTTAATATGCGAGTGAATTTTTTTTTCTCTGACACTGAAGGGTAGGTCCAACCTTGACAGATAAAGATAACTAGAATTTTGAATTGTTCTCAAATTGGTTTCTTGCGGTCAATGTGGAAAAGGTATTGGATATTGTTCCTGTGATGTTACAGATCTTAGAAAATGATTTATATGATCATGAATTAGTGAGGTTGAGCCTACAACTTCTATCCAATACCCTTTTCATGTAAATGTTTTGACAACCAATATAGGAGTGATTTATTGTTCTAGTTATCATAATCATTGTGGATCAGGTTTGACCAGCCCTGGAACGCATGAAGCTTTGTTGTGATCGTTATGCAACGGATCGGTTTTGAAACCAGGCATACACATTCATATTAGGATTGACTAACGGAATGATCTGTCTCTTTACCATATCAAATATTCCCTCGTTATACTCTTTCATTCTCATGGCATGCCTATTTGTCAAATGAAAATATTTCTCAAAATTTTGCTGAAAAATCCATCAAATTTGGCATATTTATGGATATCGTGCATGAATATGACATTGTACATTTCATATAGACTGAACAGATCAGTATTGTATATTGTCATGCATAACTTTAGTAATAGCACTTTTTGTTAGATCAGGTAAATAATAACATTGGCTAAGTAAAATGCAATGTATTTCAATGATCACCCAACATTTCTACTACCAGGGTATTTTTATTTTCTATTTAATCATTTATTTTATTTTCGTTTTTAATTTGTTTTACTTTTTTGAGGGATAGGGGGTCTAGAAAGTCGATATTAAGCAAAGTACTATACATCAGCAAGTATTTATGATAGTCAAATTAGCCCTTTTGGGTGCATGCATGAAACATTCGTTTGCCATGTGTGGTTAAAGGAAACCTTACCCCAAGAAATAACTTTACTAACTGAAAAATTTATTGTATTCTTACCAATATATTTACAAGATTCCCCACCAAAGTGAATGAGAGAGGTATAATGCAAGAATAATGAGCATTTTCTTAGCACGACATGCATCGCCATTTTCTTGATATTGTGACAAATGTGAAGTAAATGTATATTCAAATTTGTGGATGCTTTCTTCCCAGGTGTGATGGTGATGAAGTATATCATTCACCTGTATTATCGTTTTTTTACTACAATTGTCAGAACCTATATTGCATAAATAGGTTAATGCTCTTCTCGGTGAAGCTTTTACATAAATAAGTTATCAACTGCTATAATATAAAATACTATATTATAAAAAAATTCAAATAAATTAGTTACAATTGTTATTGTGTTGTTATTGATTAAAAAAAGTCTTTCCACCTAAAGCATGGTGCATGATAATACATTTCTAACTGGTACGTCACATTATCAAGGAAATGGCTGCGCCCATTTATATATCTCATGTACAATTTGCTAAGGAGTATTGTACATCAAAGGATAGAAGTACATCCCATCTTCCACCATACCTACACTTATTCTTTGGGGTGAGGTTTCCTTTAAGCACCCATAAATTAGTTAACGATCAGCAAATGGTATGTAATTGGGGAAATAAAATCTAGGTTTATTGGACTTGGGAAGTTTATAGCCCATCTCAAATAGGGGCTAATTCCCTCAGAACTCAATAACTTCAATGATTAGGGTGTAAAAGAGGAACTATTCCTCAAAAAAAAAGTATTGTACATATATATATACATGTGTAAGCGTCCAGGTATAGGTAATGTAAGGGGAAGTCACATGTCACAGCTGATATACTAATGAAAGAAACCAAAGAAGGAAGGAAGGAAATGTGAGAAAACTTATCGACCTCTTGGAGCCAGAAAGTCATTTATCTCCTAAGAGATGATAGTCCAAAAGAACAATTCAAAAAAAAAAGTAATTTGTGTAATGCAAAAAATGAGGCATTAACTGTTAGGGAATAGAGTCCATGTTGGAACCATTGTAAATTGAGAAGGGAAAAACGACACTTCTTTGTTGGTATCATGTTTTAAGAGCCATGTTAAGAGCAGGAACTAGGAGAAGAAAGACTATCCAGAGGTACTGGTATGGGGCTCTCATACATCAATCATATTCTAGATTCAGTTCCTCCTGCAAGTCAAAGTCAAAGTCAGCCATCTTTTAACAAGATACCGGAAAATCATTGAAGCTATTATACTATGAATTGTTGGAACAAATATACAATTATCAACTAAATTGTTCATCTTCCTTCTTGGGGGGAGTGGGGATTTTTCGTAACTCAAGAATGAAAGGGGAATGGTTTAATAAGGGCCTTTGTTAAAAACTATTAGATGAAAGCTCTGATAAGTTGTAGTCTCAAGAAACATAAAGTGGGATTTGGTAAGGGTCCGAATAATTAAGTTTTTAACTGTACATGTAAAAGAAAACATGTGCTCTTAACCTCACATTGATGAAATAAAAACAATCAGACTTGGTAATAAAGGAAAAATGTAAGTTGTCTGTTAAACTGATAGATAAAGACACAGGATACATGTGGTCTGATGGGGGGGGGGGGGGGGCCTGTATGGGATTAAACTGAAGTATAAAAGTTGATGCCCTTCTGGTTTCAAACTGATGTATGTCTTCTGATATTTTCTGTTAGTGTAGCTGCTATGATATCTTGTAAGAAATATATACACATTTTATCTATGTGTTAACAGCATCCAAACTCAAAGCCATTATAGTAGTTTGTTTATCTTAGATATTCCTGTGTGGGCTACATATATGTTGATTGTCTACTCGACTCTTAATTCAAATTGAAGTGTACTTGCTTGTTTACTAAAAAGAATATCAAATTGATTATATTTTCTAGCAGAATAATAATTGTAGGACAATTTTTTCTTTTGAGTAATTCCTTCATACAAAACAATCTTTTTATATAAGCTTATATTGTTTGGTTTTGAAGAGCAAGCAACAGTGTTGTCACACATAAACAATTTCCTATTTTAGAGTATTAGCAACACTGCTAAAAATGGTGTTTGTGAAAGGCAATAAGAGGGATGTGAATAATGAAAAACTTTGTTTAAAAATCAATGTAGATTGTCATACATGTCATAAGTTTAATAATTGATTGAGAAAGCTATATGTGCAGTTATCAACTCTACAAAGTTTATTTCATATTTTACATTGAAATGTTTGTTTCAGTTTACTCACTTTCTTTTTATTCCATTTTCCCATTTATTTCCTCCTCATTTGGACTGTATCCAAAATGTCTATATTTCTTCTCTCTTTCGTCTCTTTTTCCCCCTCTTTTTGTCCCTCATTTCTCTTCCACTTCTCTCTCATCTTCTATGTCTCCTCCACTTCTGTGTCTGCCTCACTATCTCATTTCTTATGCCCTTTTTGCTACTCTTTCCTTATTCTTTTACTCATCATCTCTATCACCTTCTGTCCCAACCCCTCCCCACCCCTCCCCACCCCACCCCTCCCCACCCTCACCCACCCAACCCCTCCTCACCCCACTCCAACCCTTCCCCACCCCTCATCCACCCCACCCCTCCCCACCTCACTCCACCCCGCCCCACCTCACTCCACCCTGCCACACCCTCTATTGCTCCCATGATTGCCTGCCTGCCTGTCTGTCTACAGCTGGAAGGATGGCCTGGGTTTCTGTGCCCTGATCCATAGGCATCGCCCAGATCTTCTGGACTACAGCAAACTAAAGAAGGTATGTAGGATATCTGTCCCTCATCGGCCTAACTCTCTCTACAGCTCTCCTCTCCTACAAACTACAAGTCTGGCAACACTTCTCTCCTGTGAACTCTAATCATATCATGTCCCCAGGCTTTAGCTCCTGTTCAACTTATACTTTTTTTCCTTCAGTTTTCGTAACAATCTGAAGTGATGTACCCAAAATTTTACTCCAGTTCAACTCAGAGATTACGCTTGAAATCTGTTCTCTAACCAATGATTAAGAACTCGGTCAAACAATTTGTTGCTTTGATTAAAATAGGAAAAATCAGGGGAAAAAACCCAAACAATGAAATAGAAAGTATTAGGAAAATCGGCATACTTTTAAAAATTCTGCAAATTTTTCATGACATGAACATGACTTTGTAATTGAGACCAAAGGGCATATTTCCATAAGGACTTTATGATTTTACTTCTTCAAGTCATTCTGTGCTCAGAGGTAGCCCTTTGAAATGACTGTTAAGCAATTGTCCATGAAATGTTGGTATATGACTTTGGGTTTTACTGGTAAATTGTTTTGGGAAGGATCCTCCACTACTGATGGGATGGGATGGTATGGTTAGAGCTAAACAGTCTTTCCTCGATGTTGCCAATTTGGCACATTGTATAAGGAGAGTTTTATAATGAGAAGTATTGCTTGACTTGGTAGAGGGAGAGAAGAGCTCAAATTTGGCTGATCCACATCCTATCTCTACCACATTATCCTGCTTATGTTCCTGAACTACAGAGTGCAGCATCAAATTCATTCCATAGCTTATTAAGAGAGGCAGTTGTGACTCTACATACATCCTCAAAGGTCAATTCATGGAGCTCCAAATAGTTGCCTCCCACACACAATCTCTATGGGAGGCAACTGTTTCCGTGCCCTATGAGTTTGACTTCTTAAGGAAAGCAACTTCCATTGACGTATCTGTCTAGAGTTGTATTAATGGTCTGGCAATTCTATTCAAATAAGGGGAATTCCCCTGCTGCACTCTGCTTGGCTCTTGAATTTGTAAATCTCACATTGGTATCTCGGTTCTGTCATCTTTTGCTCTATTTTCCAGCTTTTATGGAGCTGAGAAATTCATGAAGCACAAACAACGATACACACCTCATGTTTGAGGTTTTTTTTTCATTTTCATCATGCTTTCATCATCTCAATGCTGCACATACATTTAATACTCTTTCAAATCTAATTGATTAACACGTTCATGGAGGGATATTTGTAGGAAATATGGCTAATACTTTCTTTCTCTGTCAAATCTATTGATTTACATTAAGATATATTTGGGGTCATTTAGGAATATGGCTAATATTTTCTGACTCATCATCCATAACTATTTTTTGGCAATTTGTTAATATAAATTGGAATCAGAATTCACAATTTTATAACTGTCCTCTAATCCATTAATCTGATTTTTACATAGTTTTCACATAGGGCTCAAACATACATACTGTAAAAAAAACAGGACCCTCTTTAAAAAAGGTTAATGTGGAGCTCTTCGTTAGTCATGAATTCATCATAGATATTAGGTTAAAAAGTGATGGTTGTCAGCCAAACTACATATGGTTTTATCAAAGTTTTAATCTTTAATACATTTTGAAGAAGAAGAAAAGAATACTTTTTCAATATCGACACTTTACAATATTATATATAACATCAAGGGAAAATGCAAATTTGCAAAATATCAACAAACTTAGCATGACAATGCATCAGTTTGCATGGCAGTCATATAATGTAATGTGTGTAATATAGCCTCCATTGTAATTGCATAAACCAATATATATTCTTGTTAGACCGTATAGGAAGCCTGTATGTTTCTTTCATTCTATGTTTCTGTCATTATACATACATTCATTTCATTTCTATTTTGACTTATGAGATACCAATGGGTTTATAGAAGGAGGATGTTATAGAGATAAGGTGTGTAGTGCCTGTATGATATGAAGCATGATGAGGCATGGACATCTTACTTGGTCGTCTTTAGGATGTGGAGTCCCATTCGTTATAACATTGGATGAAGGTAACATCCAGTATAGGTAACATACTTTGTCTTTCGTCTTTGAATACTATGAAGTTGCATGTAGGCCCTCTATACATAGGCCTTTGATTTATATATATACTTGTTTGATAATGGATGATATTCATCATATTTGGCCATCAACAAGAATTATTTGTATTTTTGGCTACCGTAATAATTATAAACAAATTTAAAGTATTGATCAAGGACATGGGAGAAAAAATCATAAAGTTTGTATGTTGCACATTTGCATTTTGTCCTAAACTTGAATTTCCTGAAAGGAAAAAAAAATGGGGAAGAAATGGAAGAAGGGTATGATGAGCTGGTACATGGAGTGCAGTTTTATTTGTGGTAGAAGATGAATGGTCCAAGATGTCTCTAGTCCTGTTCCCAACAGGTTCTTATGAGCTTATGAGTTGAATGAATATGTGGACTATAGCATGTTTGGAGCTCCTGTAGTCTACAGTTGCTGGGCCTGTTTGGAATGTCTGGAATTCAACATGCTCTAGCTGTGCTGTGCATTGCTATCACTGATCAATGCTGTACCCCATTATATGTGCATGTTGGCACATTTGTGTATATGTGTGTATGAGGTAGAGAGATCGTATTCATTGCCATTGATATTTCTAAAGCTATTTTTATATCTAACCCTCCCTGTCCATTGGGATCTATCGGTATGACAGACGCCGGTGTTAAAGGGTTTAGAACCTCCGGCATTAAGGAGTGCAAGATCGGTTACACAGGGAAGGGTATTAGAACCAGTGGTGTTAAGGTTAAGTTCAGTGTCCATTCCAAGAAGAGAGGGGTATTTCAAGCTCTGATGTTCAGGTTTTAGGGACCATTTTAAGAGGGGTTGGGCATTACAAGGGGAAGGAGTATTTGTACCGTTATTGGAGAAACATCTTGATCTTTGGTGTTTAAAGAGGTGGAACAAACAGGTTATTCAAAGTATTTTGATGGTCACCCCCCCCCCCCCCCCTACTGTAAATAATGTGTAGTCATGCAAGAAAGAAAGAGAAAAAAAAAGTCTTGATTGATAGACAATATCATGTATTGCATTCATACTGAAAAGAGTCCAATTATATAAGAAGAGGAAAGAAGGATACTCTTAGATTGGATCCACTGTATAACCCATTGAGCATGTAGAAGGCCCTGTCATTGTTGAAATTAATTGATGACATTGGTCTTTGAGTCAGATGCATGCCAAGATTTCCCAGAATAGCCAGGGCAGCCAGGGCATTCATTCACTGAATGTAAAGGTTAAAGTGGGATGGATTTGAGATGATAGCAGCTGCTAGAGTGTTAGTACACATGGCATGGTGAAGGTTAGTCTTCTCATGTGTCCTCTACATATACAAAGCCTATAATATGATAAATGATTTTTTTTTTTGATGGAGTTGGGGGGGGGGGGGGGTCATTGTTTTGAGTTAGCACCTTCCCCAGCTCCTATTGCCCCCTCCTAAGACACTTTTCCCACTTAGCCACTATGCTTCCTCATACATTGGGTCTCTTGAAAAGAAATCACTCTCCCAAGAATACAGATGGTGGTACATTTAATTCTCTCAATGGAGTAATAAGTGTTTAGAAAAATTGCATATTTGGCAGTTGTTGTTGGGTGGGGGTGGGGGGGGGGGGATCATATGGTTATTTGTAACAAATTATCTTGTACTTATATCTTTCCTTTTTGCTGCCAAATCTATGCATGGGCTTTAATTAAAGTAAAGAATTATCATTATCCACTGGTATCTATTAAGCGCAAAGACGTCTTTGAAACTGTTTGTTGTCAGTGATTAATATAATGGATAAAGAATGTTAGATCAAGTGTAATGATGAGGGGTACTGGGTGTTAGGCACTAGGGTCATGATGAGGGGTACTGGGTGTTAGGCACTAGGGTCATGATGAGGGGTACTGGGTGTTAGGCACTAGGGTCATGATGAGGGGTACTGGGTGTTAGGCACTAGGGTCATGATGAGGGGTACTGGGTGTTAGGCACTAGGGTCATGATGAGGGGTACTGAATGTTAGGCACTAGGGTCATGATGAGGGGTACTGGGTGTTAGGCACTAGGGTCATGATGAGGGGTACTGGGTGTTAGGCACTAGGGTAATGATGAGGGGTACTGGGTGTTAGGCACTAGGGTCATGATGAGGGGTACTGGGTGTTAGGCACTAGGGTCATGATGAGGGGTACTGAATGTTAGGCACTAGGGTCATGATGAGGGGTACTGGGTGTTAGGCACTAGGGTTATGATGAGGGGTACTGGGTGTTAGGCACTAGGGTCATGATGAGGGGTACTGGGTGTTAGGCACTAGGGTCATGATGAGGGGTACTGGGTTTTAGGCACTAGGGTTATGATGAGGGATACTGAATGTTAGGCACTAGGGTCATGATGAGGGGTACTGGGTGTTAGGCACTAGGGTCATGATGAGGGGTACTGGGTGTTAGGCACTAGGGTCATGATGAGGGGTACTGAATGTTAGGCACTAGGGTCATGATGAGGGGTACTGGGTGTTAGGCACTAGGGTCATGATGAGGGGTACTGGGTGTTAGGCACTAGGGTAATGATGAGGGGTACTGGGTGTTAGGCACTAGGGTCATGATGAGGGGTACTGGGTGTTAGGCACTAGGGTAATGATGAGGGGTACTGGGTGTTAGGCACTAGGGTCATGATGAGGGGTACTGGGTGTTAGGCACTAGGGTCATGATGAGGGGTACTGAATGTTAGGCACTAGGGTCATGATGAGGGGTACTGGGTGTTAGGCACTAGGGTTATGATGAGGGGTACTGGGTGTTAGGCACTAGGGTCATGATGAGGGGTACTGGGTGTTAGGCACTAGGGTCATGATGAGGGGTACTGGGTTTTAGGCACTAGGGTTATGATGAGGGATACTGAATGTTAGGCACTAGGGTCATGATGAGGGGTACTGGGTGTTAGGCACTAGGGTCATGATGAGGGGTACTGGGTGTTAGGCACTAGGGTCATGATGAGGGGTACTGAATGTTAGGCACTAGGGTCATGATGAGGGGTACTGGGTGTTAGGCACTAGGGTCATGATGAGGGGTACTGGGTGTTAGGCACTAGGGTAATGATGAGGGGTACTGGGTGTTAGGCACTAGGGTCATGATGAGGGGTACTGGGTGTTAGGTACTAGGGTCATGATGAGGGGTACTGAATGTTAGGCACTAGGGTTATGATGAGGGGTACTGGGTGTTAGGCACTAGGGTCATGATGAGGGGTACTGGGTGTAAGGCACTAGGGTCATGATGAGGGGTACTGGGTGTTAGGCACTAGGGTCATGATGAGGGGTACTGGGTGTTAGGCACTAGGGTCATGATGAGGGGTACTGGGTGTTAGGCACTAGGGTTATGTTACCATTCCTTGCATTCTTTATTGTGTTACCCGGTTACATTATGCACCAAGGAGCTACATCCCAAATCCAGGCTTCCTATTTCAGTGCATTCATCCATCAAGATTATTATTTTTGTGGGTTTAATATGGACTAAAAATATTGGCTTGATGAAGGTCTGAAGCAAACGACTAGATTATGTGTGTAGAATGTACTATTCCCTGGTGAAGTATGATGGGGAGGGCATGTTGTAAAAACAACATGGTAGGCATCGTTTGATTGGCCCTATGTGGTAAACTTGTGTTGTCCATGTCTGCCTTATGTGACAATTGTGTGTGGGCCATGTCTGCCCTTTATAGCAGTGGCATGATGAACATGTCTGCCATTTGCGGGCAATGTTGTGTTCAGCCCTATGTGGCAATTTTGTATGTGGCCCCTTGTGGGCAGTGCTGTTGGCCCTATATGACATGTTGTATGTGGCCCCTTGTGGGCAATGTTTTACGTGGTCCCTTTGTGGGCAATGTTGTGCGTGGCCCTTTGTGGGCAATGTTGTGCGTGGCCCTTTGTGGGCAATGTTGTGCGTGGCCCTTTGTGGGCAATGTTGTGCGTGGCTCTTTGTGGGCAATGTTGTGCGTGGCCCTTTGTGGGCAATGTTGTATGTGGTCCCTTTGTGGGCAATGTTGTGCGTGGCTCTTTGTGGGCAATGTTGTGCGTGGCCCTTTGTGGGCAATGTTGTGCGTGGCCCTTTGTGGGCAATGTTGTGCGTGGCTCTTTGTGGGCAATGTTGTGTTGACTATGTTTTTCCTACCCATATAGGATGACCCAGCCACCAACCTGGAGCTTGCCTTCTCTGTGGCCGAGAAGCACCTTGACATCCCCAGGATGTTGGATGCAGAGGGTGAGTTCTTTCATCAGTGCTTCCACATTTGCTCCGGCAACGATTCCTTGGTCTTTATTTCGTCAAAGGGAATTTCCGTTCAATGCGTCCCATACGACATATGACTTTTATCCATTTATTTCATCCAAAAATGTCTTGATGTGACATTTGACTAATTGTTCTTTTGGTTTCACTTCCATCTGTCAGTGGTTGTATCCTAAGATTTTGAATGAAATAAATCAGAAAAAACAATATCTCCCATACAGAACACATTGCATGGAATCGCCAAAAAGATACAGGGTTAGGGTTAGGGTTAGTGTTTGGTTTTAGGTTAGGGTTAGGTATAGTGTTCTATTGGGGGATGAAATTAATTCAAGTGGTATTGACCGTGGAGCATTTGTAGCCGGAGCTTGTGTTGTACAACCCTTTCATGGTCATCCTGATTAATGAAACAAACAAAAAAGACATTTGATTCTTATTATATATGAAATTAACAAGAATCCTACAGAGATCATACTATGAACAGACTTGATAAAGGGGAATAATTGTGTGTAAATGTGAGAATAGCTGTCGTGAGCAATTAGTGGAAGTGACTGGTTTCAAGGTAGTCTTACAAGCTATAGAGTCCAAACCATCTCGGGTGCATTTAAACTTGCAATACTCATTTCCTTACACAGTGGATATTTGATGCTGTTACCTGCATGGAAACTTAAACATACATGTTTTAAATAGTCATTTTGGTGGAAACAATTGTGAATTTATTGGGGTAGAGTAAATCCGATAAAATAAGACTATTGTACTTTGTTACAACAAATATTGGTTTCCAGTTCTTAACAAATTGATTCAACTTATCAGACATATAATTTCAAATAACTTGAACTTGCCATAAATGGGATGTCCGTCCCATGTTTTTGGTTTGTCTTGCAGCAGACTATATTGATGTGACTTTTCTTCTTTATTGTACAGACTTGATGAACACCGCAAGGCCTGATGACAAGTCCATCATGACGTATGTCTCTGCATATTACCATGCTTTCTCTGGGGCACAGAAGGTAAGCTGAAGTGTTTCAGACATTCTCATTCATACATGGCCTCATGGGATATAATTCCTGTTTTTGTGTACATATTTAGCAATATTGCTAGAGTACTGTTAATCCAGAGCAGTAGATTGTCATCTTTTCGTGACTTTATCTTTTGATCCAGAATGCTAGGAATTACACATAAGCAGAAAGACCAAAAATCACAATGTTTTAAATATGTTTCTAATGCAGTACATTTATAAGAACGATTAAATTGTCACTAATCATCAGTAAAGTCTGTAAATTGGCAATGTGATTTAGAATATAAAAATCACAATATATGGCCATTTTCTTTCACATTTATTTCTTTATTTCAAAATAAAAATGTTTTAATTTTGAAGAAGTAAAAAATATGATTAAGGGTTGCCAAAACTGATTAATTTAGAGAAAACTGAACTGCTATCAGTTAACCTGTACACAATATTTGAAGTTACTTCATAGAATGATGACATTGCAAACATGATTTTTAATGGTTTCATGATGATAGGACTCTATTATGTTTATTCATGCTAATAGATAATATTTTAATGCCTGAATAGTTCACCCCCCCCCCCCAAAAAAAAAAAAAATCACCCAGAAGTAGAGATTGAAGCAGTAAATCGTTAAAATTGGTGCATGTGAAATGGTCTATGCAATTCTTTAACTTCGTTCACACTCAAGGTGGTAAACTTTTAAAAACTGCGGAAGCAAAATAAGTCTATTTGACATGTAGATAAATGGCAAGTAGGGATGAAAATAAAGGCCACTAAGTTTCCTTTTCTGTGTCTTATCTACAGAAAAAGAAATGTAAAGCACACTATACTGACATTATTTGTACAGCGTTTAAAATGCATTTTTCTAGGAAGTTATGTTTACCGGTAATAGTTGTGTGAATGAGCTCTCTTTGAAGTTAGTGAAGGAAGATGCAGCACGTTAGTTGGCACCGATGTGAACGATGCACTGATGCTTAATGGTCCAAAAAAATTGTGATTAGGTTTTCACACCTATCTGCTCTTAGCTGCAGCTGATCACAAACTAATAACTCTCTGCATGTGGTATAATTGCAAGCAATACAAGTAATCCATTCCACCATCTACACTTCGGGATATAGCATCAAACAGTATTGCTCTCCTTGTGAAAGTGGATTATAAAGGAATTTCAAGATTAATTTATATTTACATTGAACCGAAGAAGATTTGGATACTAGACTTGATGAGAACCTATTTAGCCATTACAGGGAGTGTGTGATGCTCTCTATGTGAAATGTGGAGCATTTTATGTCCATTTTAAAGCAAAATTTATGTTCAAAATGTAAGTATTTGTTATTTGTCAGGACTTCAAATTGCCTCTGTGATGCCATACCCTCTGTTCAGAACAAGAAGAGCGTCAAATCAAAAGTATTTTAGATTAACGGCCTTCTGGCTCTGAACAGACGATACTGGTTTGTTGTACAGCCAACATGTGTGCATAGAATGGATCTAAACTAGGGACATTCTCTGAATGACATGAGATATTCTCCACCACTAACCACACCATTAGGGAGTAAATACCTGCAATGTCTTACTCTTTTTGATTGTGTTTGGGTTGCAGGCGGAGACAGCAGCTGGGCGTATCAACAAGGTTCTTGGTCTCAACATGGAGAATCAGCGTCTCATGGACGAGTATGAGAAACTAGCTAGTGATGTAAGTAGAAATGCTGCAGATGGAGACATGAACAAGTCTTGATTTAATCCATGACTCATTGAGAAAGATGATCTTCCTTGGCTGACCTTAGCTAAATCAGCTTTAATCGTTTTACGTACATGAGAGTTTTTGTTTTAGGCATTTGTACTTTACTTGGCCACATCAGGCAAGTAGGTGAATTCCCACACATTTCAGGTTCATCAAAATCAAAAATATTATTAGAATATGAACTGAACACATGTCCAGACTAATTGAAAATCAGTGTCTTATTAAAGCACTGTACTACTATTATGTATTATGAACATTCTGTTAATTGACATTGCTTGAAACTCATCAATGACTTTATCATACAGATACATGTTGTAAAGATAATATAAATAATGGATGATGTATTCATGGTCCACAAAGTGATATGTTTACTTTCCACAAGCATTCAGGAAATTGATATTGAACAGTGAAAGAGATGCATTATAACACACATGAACATTATTATGTATTAATTTTGTAATTGAATTTTGAATTGATTTTGTCTTGTTTTTGCTGTAATTGTTTAGTTGCTTGAATGGATCAGGAGAAAGAAACCTTGGCTGGAAGACAGGACTCTCCAAGAAAGCACTCTAGATGCGATGCAGGTTAGTTCTTTTATCTTCCTAACTCACTCCAGAAGGGGTGTCATGATCTAGTGGGTAAATCACTGGACTGTGGTTCCATTCCTGGTCATGACACTAGCGTCCTATGGCAGGGCACTCATCTATACTTGCCACTCTCCACCCTGGTGAGTTTAGTGGGTGTCCAGTAGGAAAATATTCCTTGAATGCCTAATCATGGTAGCACTGTATAATCCTGATAATAATTATTATATTTCTGTTTTTCCCCTCATATGACGTACGTGAAGGTGGATAAGCTCTCTACAAATTGTTTATATTGCATTCATAGATAGTTCTTTCATGTAAGATAAGGTTTTTAAAACTTTACAGTTGTATGTAGACTTTGAAGATAATGAAGGACATGTATATAGAAATAATCATGCGAATTGTTACATAAAACTGAAACATTGTTGTTACCATTGTTCATCTGCCGATTTGTTCCTCATTCTTATTACTTGTCCAATATGACATCGACTGGGTATGAATAATCTTTTGTTAAACTGTTTAGTTTGATGTTATTAAATTATGCCATGGTGTAGTGATGCAAGTATGTATTTAGAAATGTCCCCTAACATAAACTGTGTACTTCCTCTTACTATCCCTTTGATAGAGATGAAGAAAATTATTCATATAGCCCTTGGTCTTACAAACATTTCTACTGTGTCTTTGTATTCAATGGTAAAATTTGGGTCAAAAGATTAACATTTCTGTGAGCAGAATTCATCCCATAAGAGATGTAAACCTGTAATCCTATTTCCTGAGTATACTAACCATATATAGTTCAATCTTTTGATTCAGTTTATTGTAATAACTTAAGTTCTTCAGTGGTATCAAGTCTCTATGATATAGATTTGTCTGTAAATCATTCAGTTGTAGATGCATTGTGCTCTCAGTTTTCTAGTAAATACTGTATAAGCAGTTATTTTTGCAAATTTTGCAAATTACTTATTGATCACGAATCAAAAATCATCCAAAAATATTTTCAGCAAGTAATGACATATGTCAAAATCATTAAAGTAAGCCCATTGCATGTTGCACACAGCGTCTATATATAACAAGCCATCATTGGTTCATTCAGCTTAGATCGAGACCACACTGATCATAATGGGGAATTTCAATTGATTTTTTTAATTTATTTCTCCCAAAATTATTCTGATATTATAATGATTGTGATACTCAGTAATGAGTTCATGATCCATGGAAATAGAATGATTGTTATTGGAAAGTATATAATTGGAAGTGGTTGTGGCTTTACATTAATTTAGCAACTCACAAATTCGTCCTGGAACACTTGATCCGCAAAAATACCTTTACGCTAAAATATTGGCTTTATAAATACAGTAGTAGATGGCATAGTTGTAAACATGTGATAATTGTTTTCCATGTCATGATGTGATGAACAGAAAAAGCTTGATGAGTTCCGCACGTACCGTGGCAAAGAAAAGCCTCCCAAGACTGAAGACAAAGCCCGTCTGGAGACAAACTTCAACACACTTCAAACCAAACTTCAGCTCACCAACCGACCAGCGTATAGGCCAAGTGAAGGCAAACTTGTTTCGGTAAGCTTACATTTATTCTACTGGTTCTAAACTAGCAAAGGTTGATTTAGACATGTGATGATAAAGATGGGAAGGTTGATTTGGCCAGTAAAGATTCTTTGATAGATGTAAAACATTATTACATTTTTTCACGCAAAGCTTTACCAGCAAAAAATAGGAGATCACCCAAATGAATGAACCCTAATTTTATGTTTGCAACTAGGAGATCTTGGGAATTAAAGCAAGTCAGTTGGCCCATGCTGTTGTGTAAGGTATTAATCCTTAATTGCCTAGTCTCTTGAATATGGAGAAAAGCTGTAGGTCCCTTGGTTGTTTTCCTACTTCTTAATTTGTATTATCTACCTGCAATGCTGTCCCATGTACACATCTGTGTGGGTGGTTTTCATTGTATCAGGTTGTCAGCAAGTTGATGCTATTTTGTTTACAATCAGCTGGCCTTAATACCATAGCATATTAATACTTTATGATGTAAAATTACAATGACTTATGGATACATTCACTGCAAAGGGTTTAGTTATTTAAAATTTGTTTTAATTTATTTTCCAATTCAGGACATTGCCAAAGCCTGGAAGGGACTGGAAACCTCTGAGAAAGGCTTTGAAGATTGGCTGCTGGCTGAGATGAGGAGGTAATTACTGCACACATACATATGCAAACATAGCATATTGAGATAGAAAGTTGTGACATGCACTTGCATATATATGTACTTTACGGTCAATTCATGGAGCTGGGAGTAGTAACCTCCCACTTACTGCCTCTATGGGATGAACAAGCGCAACTTCCTGTGATGTACAATGTAATCATCTCAAAGATTCACAAATAGAAGTATGGAACCCCCTTTTCATTGTTGGTTCAAGGTTCCTAAGTTTGGCAGTGATAAGTTCTGTAAGTACTGTCGAAAGATGCTCCCTTCGAGGAAAGTTGAGATCCGATTTGGGCAAGGTTATTGAAGGAAACGCTGTTGTTAATATTCTCCATAATGTTATTTTAGATTGGAGAGACTGGATCATTTGGCCAAGAAATTCCGACACAAGTGTGATATCCATGAAGCTTGGGCTGCAGGCAAAGAAGAAATTCTTAGGGAAGACTTTTCAGGAATGAGACTTAATGATCTGAAGGTAAGCAACAAATTTCTCTTTATCCCACGTAATCATTCTCATATAGTTCTTTGTAATCCTTTAAAACAAGTTGGAGCCCTTTGTCGGCAAAGCAAAGCAAATTGCATGAATACAATAGTTCATAGAAAAAATGTGTTGGAAGAGCCTTTCTACAAGTGCAAGAACTCCATAACTGTTTGTTCAATAATTGATGGTTCGATTTCTATAGAGTAGTTGTGCTTGTTGTAGGCAAGTAGCTACATATTATTATGGGACAACAAGCATAATACCCGTGATCTGAAGCAAAATCAATACCATTAATATATTTTTGTTTTGGAAATTAATGGTTTATGTAACAAAATTTAAAAAATACTTTCTTGAAATTAAGCATTGTATTTGATATGTTGTACAATCTACAGTACAATTTAAATCTGTTGATTGATTACTTTCTTATTGTAATTGTTGATGATTAATACATTAAATTTCTCTTTATCTATTGAGTCACTTTCTGATTTGTGTTTAATTGTGATTGCAGGCTAAGTGTAGGAAACACGAAGCGTTTGAGAGTGACTTAGCAGCTCACCAGGATCGAGTCGAGCAGATTGCAGCCATCGCTCAGGAAATGAAGTAAATCTATATTTGATCTTCATCTTTCCATAATAATAATAATAATAATAATAATGATGATGATAGCCAGCACTTTATAGTTTACAATAGTACATTGTCCATAGTACAACTACCTCACAGTTTTACAAAATAAGTAATACCTGATATTGAAATTAAGCATTTTATTTTATTTGCTGTACAATGAACGGACTACGATACATGCTCTACATAGTACAACGCTATTACAGGGCTTACGAAATATAAAAAATACATGATATTGATAAATAAACACGTGTTGAATGGCTTTAATTAGTTTAGAAACTGATTTTGTTTTAAATTTTTTTTTTCCCCAGTGATTTGGAGTACCATGCTATCGGGCCTATCAACCAGCGATGTCAGACGATCTGTGACCAATGGGATACCTTGGGCTCCCTCTCCATGGGACGATCAGAAGCCCTTGCTGTATGTATCATGTGCACACACATTAATCATGTTCATGCGTGGGTATATAGTCGTTCGTGAAGGAGGCAACTTGGCGATCACTACATAACACTGATCCAACGGGTATTACGCTCCTGTGCGTATTTCCCTGTGCTGCCCTCTATATACCCACGCATGAGTAACTTTAATGTATGTTACTGCTTTATAACCTTTAGAAAAGCAGGAAATGCTTCGAGCCCGACTCAAACAGAGTAAAGTTTATACTTAAAGGTCATGTATAGACTTGGTAAACTCTCAGAATCATTTGCTTTTAAATGATAAATAGCAAGATACTAGCCAAATAAAGATGCTGTGAAGATTGTTCTCCTTAAATGGAATATTTAATAAATGCTAGGGATAAATTATATTATATATATATATAGCCTGGGACCTATCATAAATTGTGTGGTCAATCTGTGTTGTACACACATGTAAAAACTACGGAGAGTGAAGCACATTTGTTGTTAATTGATTAAAAATGTGATTTCTCTTTTTATTACATTATCATAATGTAGTACATCATCATTCTCTTTGATAAAGGAAGGAAGTTTGAGAATTTGTAAGCATGAATTTCTATTCGTCTTTGCTTGGTTTTATCTCTACATAAAGGGTTGCATTTTATTATGCACTCTCTAAATGTTACATTGTTACTATTTTTTCTTTGTACAGAAAGCGGTGATGATCCTGGAATCGATTGACTCCAGGCAGCTAGATTTTGCAAAGAAAGCAGCACCATTCAACAACTGGTTAGATGGAGCTAGGGAAGACTTGATGGATATGTTCATTGTTCATACACTGGAGGAAATCTCAGTAAGTTCTCATTCAAATACATGACGCCATGCTAAAAGACGTACTTGTTTTCCTTAACTCTTCTTTAACTCTCTCTTAGAAATTAAGTATGTCAAGCCCACTATGCTTCTTTCATTTTATTTTGGCACAGCAGATATTGTAGGTGGTTTGTCGCATCATGCATGAACATAGTGTTACAAGAATATGTGTTGTTTATCTGTAGATCACAGAAAAGGATACTAAAAAAAAATCAAATTGGCAGTACAATAGTTGTGAGAGATGTATATATTAATGCAAATGTAAAACTGGTATTCAGATAATTGATTTATTTGTGTCATTATAGTATCTGAATTTGAAAGTTTTAAGTAAATGATTGATACATCTGTATAGTTCTGTATTTGTATAATTCTGATATAGGTGTGGTAAATTACCATTAATTGTATATCCTTCAAATTAATTGGTATCTCCTTTAATCGGTTGTAACTTACGATTAATGTTACAAATTATTAAGATACGATGGATTGCAGCGAGACTTGAGATATATACATTTTTTACAATTGATGATAAGTCGATTTTTGTGCTCCATGGCCTTAATGTAAAACTGATACATAAATGTATTTGTATAATTTTAGTATATGATTTGAAACCTTTACGTAAAACAATTGTTATTTTTGTTCAGGTGTTTGAAAGTGTAAATATTTGCTTTGTTTGTAGGAATTGCTTGATGCTCATGAGGTTTTCAAGAATAATTTGGGAGCAGCTGAGGAGGAGTTCAACTCTTTGGCCGCACTGGCTAATGAGATCAACAAGACTATTGAGATGAATAACGTCGGCATCAAAGAGAACCCATACACAACCCTCACAGTACAAGTGAGTAGTCATAATAACAATCATGATTATGATCATGTATGAGCTAAAACATGAAGTACCATGGCACTTACAAAAGCACAGAATTTGAAGTAAACTATAAAATACATGGACTCGTTGTCACATTAAGGTACTGAGGGAAGATTATGTTATAAAGGAGTTTTTGAAAGCGGCAAAACGGATGGAAAGTGGGATGTTGTTCATGTTTTTGAAACAGCCAATGGTAAACGTTTTTATGTAGATAAGATCAATGATATGGGAATAACTACTGGTAGGTTATATTTGTCAGCTGTTGAGCAAAGATTACAAGCTGGTGTATATATTTGGAGATTGTTAATAAGGTATTCAGTCTTATAGCCCATGCACAATCTCTTTAGATTGTGAGAGACTAGATGGTGTGAACTAATCAATGTAATGATGTACTTTTATCTTCCTCAGGTTGTAGTTGAGAAATGGAGAGATCTATGTGAACTGGTGCCCAAGAGAGATGAGGCCTTGTCAAATGAGTTACGGAGACAACAATGTATCCTTTACAACAATCAAGTTTTATTCTCTTTTCTTGTTTCTGAGCATTGCTCATGCATATTGTCTAATGATTGAATCAGTGAACATTTGATTGGCCATGTTCAAATTCACCGCCACTTATTTTGTGATACCCCAACCAGAAACATCTTTTTCATGGTCGTTTTATTATTTTTCCCCTTCACCTTCTTTTGCTTCTTCATCTATCTTCACCTTCTTCTGCATACAGTGTTTCCAGCCATTTAGTCTTCAAACTTTTGCCCTGCAATTTGTTTTCAATGAATTCAAACTGGATTAAAGATGCTATAAGTAAATGTAATGTACAGACCACATTTTTGTAAAGTATTCTGAACAAAAGCCCACTAGCCCACTAGTGCTGTCTTTTATTATTATTTTGTTTCCTTTTCTTTTCTCTATTTGTCTTGAAGAGGTCAAAATCTGGGTTCTGTGATACTCATGCGCAGTTTTTAAACATGTAATCAGGTAGGATTGTATTTATAAATGGAGTATAGGTCGTTTTCCTTGACACTAGCCCTCTTTAGCCAATGAGCAGATGCGTGTACGATTTGCACAGTTGGCCAACCAAGTTGGTCCTTGGATTGAGAAGCAGATGGCTGCAACCATGAACATCGCCATCGGACTGAACGTGCCTCTAGAGAGCCAACTACACAAACTGCAAGACTATGAACACACTGTGCTGCAATATAAGAGTAATGTGGATGACCTGGAGAGTTGCAACAAGTCCGTACAAGAAGCCATGATCTTTGAGAACCCACACACACAATACACTATGGAGGTAAACAGAACCCCAACACAGACTTAGCTATTCCATCCTCTTGCCATCTGATTCTCAAAGAAACGGCCATTGTATTAGATATGGAAGAAAAAACAAACATCATCTCTCTGAATAATGATAAGAATACTAAGAAAAGTAATTTTAGTAATTGTAAGCTTTTCAGTCAAAATGAAAGCTGAATCGGCTTCAAACAATCACACTACTGGAACAAAATCGTTACAGTTCTGGTGCTCCAAGTTCCTCCAAGGAAGCTAGGATTCCCTTGAAATTTAGATTTTATCAATGAGCATAAATATTCATGATATGGCAAGTACACAAAGGCAGCTTTACTGACCCCACCCACAAGCATGCTAGTCTCCTCCTGACAGTCTTTGTTTCTGGTATGTGGAAAGCCTTGTCGAAAGACTTTATGATACAATATTGTCTGTTGAGAGCAACACGGGCGTTATTCACTCTGTGTTACAGCATATGAGTTAATGCCCTTCTTGCTCCTAACAGATGATGTGTTTCATTTCCGATTATTGTTTTCTAGTATTTCTAAAGGATGATTAATGTGGTTGATTGATGTTTATTTACTGCAGACGATACGCGTAGGATGGGAGCAGCTGCTTACAGCTATCAGGAGGTACATCAACGAGATCGAGAATAACATCCTGACTAGAGACACTAAGGGCATCACGGAGGAACAACTCAATGAGTTCAGAGCATCCTTCAATCACTTTGACAAGGTAGGTCTTATATAACAACCAATCTTGCATTGGTTGGAAAGTAAATTTGCTTGATTCATTTATTTGTTATAGTACTTGTGTGACTCCCCCCAGTTTTTGAGTGATCATAAATTTAGCAGTACAAAGATCTAGATATGTAACTGGTTATTGTCCCTGGGGGAGGGGGTAGTTTTCCTGGGTGTGATTGTCCAGGGGGTAATAGTCCTGATACGGTTGTATCCAATAATCTAATTTGAACCCTCATAGAATGCTATGGCTTGATGTATTGAGTAGAGGCATTGGTTGACAGGAAGCTTTTTGTTGTTGAATGTTTCAGAACCGTACCCAACGCCTGGAACCCCTCGAGTTCCGTTCATGCCTGGTGAGTTTAGGCTACGATCTGAGGGAGGACAAGAAGAGTGACATTGAGTTCCAGCGTATCATGGCTCTGGTGGATCCTAGCGGCACCGGCAAAGTGTCCTTCCAATCCTTCTTAGACTTCATGACTAGGGAAATGAGTGATGCAGACACCGTAGAACAGGTCGTCGATTCATTCAAGGTCTTGGCTAACGGCAAGGTGAGTTGCACAGCAAGTTTAATAATAATAATAATAATAATACATGAGATTTATATAGTGCCATTATCCATTCTAAGGAAATACTCAAGATGCTTCAAAATATTAGGGAACACATGACATCATGACAATGGAATCGTGTACATTTACTTGTGGTTTCCTTGTGGTGTGACATGGTTCATGCGTTTGACTCTCACTCAATCCAAGGGCCAAGAGTTCAAATTCTAGCCGGCACTATAGTCCTTTGGCAAGGTATTGATCCACATTTGCCACTCTTCACCCAGGTGTAAATGGGTACCCAACATGCTATGACCAGGATAATAATGTTGGAATGCTAGAAGCTTCATAGCATGAGTGACATGTGCACTATATAAGAAGCCACCTCTATCATTATTATTATAACCACTTTTTAGGCCAAGCTCTCTATGGGTTCTTGGAGATTGCTTTGTCCTATATCAGGGATGAGATTCCTCTGCTGATCAGCGCATTTCAAGACAGGGATAAACAAAAATACCTCTCTCATCCAAAGAATGTTACAGAGTCGCTTTAAGCAAGATGGGGTAACATATATTTCTCAAATGTATCATTTAAATGCAAGGAAAAAGTGTCCTTGACATAAATATATTCTAAAGTTTTCTGCAGAAAGACCCTCGTAAGGGGCCGCTGCCCTCTTAACCCCCGCCACCCCCATTTAATCTTCCTCCTTTTGTGGGAATTTCTCTGTCTCATCCCTGCTATATATACATCCATAGGTTTTAGACCGGAAATAAATTGCTGTGTGGAAGAGAAAAATCAAAGTATGATCAAGTAATTCCAAAAGAGTGATTGACTGGCATGTGATGTATCACTTGAAGCATGTATTACAAAGCTTTTGTGTTTGTGTTTGCAGGCTTATATCCTACCTGATGAGCTTCGTATGGAACTTCCTCCCGAGCAAGCAGAGTACTGCATCGCTCGTATGGCACCATTCAATGGTACTGGTGCTGCACCAGGTGCCCTAGACTACATGTCCTTCTCATCAGCTCTCTACGGCCAGAGTGAGCTTTAAACAACAAAACCGCTCGCCCTTTTAGCAGAATTTTATTTAGAAATTGTGAGAATTATGTAAGAGCAGATTAGAAAAATTATATATCTACCAACAAAAAAAAGTGGAAAAAAAATCTTCATGGAATATTTGATGTGACTGGCAACTTTTTTGTTATAAGCAATTAAAGTAGACATTTATTTTATTTTGTTCATTTTTTTTTTAAATCCTTTGTCAACATTTTGTCCTATGCTGTCTGTCTATCTGGATTTTTTTTTTTTTAATTATTAATTTTTTCTTTAGTTATTTTACTTAACTTTCTAACTTGGCCCCATGTAAGACCAATGCGCCCTTGTATGTTAACATGTTTAAGATGCATAGAGACTGGTCAACAGTTGTTTTTCCCTTTCAGTCTCTCTCTTTCTCTCTCTTTCAACTTGTGGATTGCTTTTGCCGTGCATTTTTCTTCGGTTTCCCAGAAAAGCTTGTTGTCTGTGAGGACCTATGCTGCAAGCAATTCAGCTACTTCCTAACAGATTAAATAAAGGAAAAGTGGTGGTTCAAAGAATCATTAGAAATCGGTATTTGGTTTGAGCTAAATAGTTGTACTTCATCATAGTTTGTTCTGTATTTCGTTGCTCTGTACTGTTGTTAATTGTAAATATATCCTCGTGTTGAAGCTTTTGCAGCATTCACGTCAATTTGCCCTCTAAAATTGTATATTGCAGTTGACATAGCAGCCAAAATTGAAGCGATCATGTAGAGCTTGAAAGAAACGCAAATAAAGATAAAGTAGTGTACCATTGAGATTATTGAGTAACTTCTGGTTGGTATGATATCTTTACCAAAATGCCACTGTCTGCTGTTAAATGCAGGTGCTTTGATCAAGTCCATACATGATTCAAACCAAACAGAAACCAATTTTGTGCCTTGCAGTAATGTTAGGTACGCTCACTCTATAAAGGCATATTTTCATAGATTTTTTGAGGTTTTGAAGAAAGGATTTTGGATGATGTCTGTCTATGTAATATACAGTTGTAATTGATGTGTTGTAGAAAGCAATAATTTAATCATGTGATTAGAGGTCTGTTTCCTTATGCAAAAATCAATTTAATTTTCATATCGTAGAGAAGAAACGGTTAAACAATTTTATAACATACATTTGTGTTAGGTTAAGTACAAACATTATGGTTTCAAATTGTTTTTTCTTTCTTTTTGAAAAAGCTTTTATACATGTCAAGCCAGAATACTTTTCAAGTGTTGATATTTGAAAGCCATCGCGCAAAGTGTGATGTGATACGTTAATGGTACTAACGGCCGGCAGCCAGTCATACATTCTTCAGCTCTATTTCATTCACACTATAACTCATTAGTACAATTAGTGATATGTATCATGTTTATTACCACAAGTTAAACCCTCAGAAAATATTCCTAATAATTTACTCAAGTTATTGTTTCAATCTCTGTTCTAAGCTTGTATCATCCTCACCAGGCTCGTGTCATTTCGAACCTTATATACTGGTTTATCTCTCAATATCGTTTTGTATATTTTCATATTTTCTTATGGTGTGAAGAACAAGCTATGTACAAAACATAAAATTTATCTAACAATTCAAGAAAAGTTGCACTTACGATCAGTTTATCCAGCTTTTTGACAAGGAATATGCTAAGATGCGTATATTATCTGGTTCATTGTAAATTGAAACCTTATTCTTTCAAGTGCACATTTGAAAGAGAGTCATTTTTAAGGTATGGTACTGAAATGTTTTATGCAGACCTTTAATTGTATAGTTATTTTTTTGTTATATGAACAGAGAAGATGAATGATGTCTATTTGTATTTAATGCTTCCAAGTCAGTTAAGTCAAAGTTGTGAATGTTTCAGCTCTTCTTTTGATCTTTATTTTGATTGTGGGTATATGTATGTATGGTTTTGAGCATAGTGGAATATGTGGAAGATTGTTACTGCAGTCCTTGTCTTAATACTCAGTTGTAGTACTTTTCATGTGCATTCATGAATTCACCTGTGTTGGTTAGTTTGATATGGATAGAGAGAAGAAGTAGTAGGTAAAATACAAGGGGATAAACCCGTAATTGGAATTGATCGAGCTTGTCACGTCGGAAAGCTTTTCATTTTCAAGGAGGGAGCAAGTCATCAAAAGAAAGCACACAATGATTCATCTTTCTTGCAAAGATATAAAGAAAATTGTAACCTTTGAGTATTGATGATGTTCAATTAGTTTTACCGAATAGCTGGAATGTGAGGATATCACTTTCATCAGCATTACAGATATTGAGGAAATAGATAGTACATGTGTGTAATGTGTTTGTTTGTTTGAGTACATGTATGTAAGGTGTTTGTCTGTTTGTAGGATATATACAATTAATTTTTTAAGACATTGGATTTATATTCTCTGCAAAGTTGTCCAATTTAACCATCCAATGTCCTCAATTTTCAAAGAACTAATGACAGATATTTCTTTTCTTAGTCTAATTATTAGTCATATTGTATCATTAGATGGACAATTTTCTTACTTTATCCACCTATTTGTGTGTACATAATACAAATCAATATTCATGTAACAGAGTTGATGTATTTTAGGGGTAAGTGGGAATAACCCAAGCAATGCACTAATTCACTATCCAAGTACTTTTCAAGGTGGTGGTTATTAGTTTGGTTTAGATTGGAATTATGGTAAAAATTGTCGCTTTTATTATTGTTTGCGTTTGTACATGTTAGTGTGGAGACAAAGTAGAAACATAGATGCTCATTATGTTGGTAGCCAAACATTTCTCCTTTTTCAAATTTTTTTCCTCAAATGATTAATTGAAATTTGCACCGAATGCAGGAAATTTATTAAAATTATCAAATTTTAAATTTTTGTGTTCAATTCAAAGTTTTAATGAATTTTACTTGCAACAGGTTATTACTTCTCAATCAAATTGTCGAATTTATGTAAAAAAAAAAAATCATAGAAAATTGTCTGTACTTCAAAATATTACAATGTCTCCTTAGTTAGCTTTTTGTATCTTAAACATATGATAACCATCAGATGAATTAGCCTCAATCCACCATTGTGGATTATTCTGTAAAACATAACTACCTAAGGAGAAGAAAAGGAACCTTTTTTAAAGTTGCAAACATTGAGATATTGGTGCATAGCTGTATTAAGTGCTATATGGGACGTACAAGAGAAAGAAAGAATGGCTTCAAGAAGAATCCACATGATCTTTAAACCAGTAACCAGTTATTAACGATATCAATGACTCTGACGAAAATTGATCTATGGGTGTTTCTTCTGTTGACGAGCCTCCTAGCCTATGCAATTTGGGAACATTAAAACATCTTGCAGTCCCCCTCATATCTCTTCTTTTGAGTTTTTCTTGTGAGTGTATTGTTTGATCAGGGAGGTGTGATGAAAAAGCAAATGTAATGCCATAGTCCCAACTCATGTAATCCCACTCTCTCTCAGCCCCCCCCCCTCTTTATTCTCTCTCTCTCTCTCTCTCTCTCTCTCTCTCTCTCTCTCTCTCACACACACACTCATACACATAACCTTTGTAGTTTACAATTCTTTCCTTATTCTCATTTCCTTGCTAAAAATATGTATGAAAAAAGGATGAAATACAAGAGGATTATTTTACAAATAATACACAGCAGTAAGGGCATTAGTAAGATTTACTCACAAGCCCACATCTCCACACCATACGGAAGAGAAAAATTCCGGACAAAAATGAGCTACAATTATTGTAAAAATTCTCAATTTGTACATGGGATGGAACGGGGGGTTAAGGAGTTTTTGTTATACACTTGCATGGCAGGATGATTCCAGGTGTGATGATTTTAAAGCCCCACTGTCCTACTTGTAGCTTCTTGCTCCCTCTATATAGAAAATTTCCCCAATCGGTTCCTGTTGGTCCCCCATGATCCTCTTTTTTTTTTATGTTAGTTGAGAGCTGAGTTAATGAGATAGCCACCTGTCAGTGACCTCGCTGTGTGGTCTAATCCCTTCTGGCCCAGTAGTATTGACGGTCTTTAATATAAAGATCTCCACCAAAGCTGGGGACTAGTTCCCTGAAGAGCTGGAGTAGAATATATGTAAGTCTGTTAAATGAAAAGAGGAAAAGTTCAAGGAAATAAGTAGAGTAGCATGATCCTGAAAATATAAAGGTAGACAGACTACACGGATCTCCGAAAGATTATACTCCACTCAAACTCACCCTACTGATCTTATCATACCATCGTAGAACGAATTTCTTGCATTGATTCTTAACGAAAATATAAAATAATTCTTTAGAAAAATATCGGAATAATATTTATTTCATATTGTATTTTGTATCTATGTCTCTTCCTTGTATCAGATTTCAAATGACAGTAAACTCTGACAGAGAAACAGAGCGGAATTATAATTATGCCTCTTCCCTCAGTTTATAAACAAAACAAAAAAATCAATAGATCTGTAGGCCTACCTGTCTATTACTCTTTCAAATATTCAGTAGGACTCCCCACTTCATATGGCAATCCTAACAGTTGTGTGATGTGAAATAATACATTTAGTCGTGAGTTACAGTCTTTCTGTGTCCATCTGAGAACAAAGCCAACATGATACGAATAATAATAAGAAGCTATTCATACTCAATTATTTCTCAGTGTTACCTTTCAACAATATATCTAGGTTTTAGTCTCAAGACTTAATACAAAGCCCCTACCCCTTGCCCCAATCGTGCCTGCTTTGCCCCTTTTCCACACTCCTCTCTAGGGGCCAAAGTAAGACCAATTACTTGCTTTGGTAATATATTGCAAGCACGGGTCTTGAAGAATAATCTTTTGGGGAGGTGGGGTTTCTGGTATTTATTTTTACAACTGCCTCACTTAAATTCATTTATAATCAAGAAGAATGAGGCTGTACATATTTTTTTTTTTTTTGGGGGGGGGGGAGGCAGGGGTTCATATGCAGGAAAATTTGCTTTGAGTAAACAATACGGTTGCAAACCTTTAATAAAATATAAACACAAGTATTAACAACTGCACACGTACCGATTGAAAACGTTAGCCTCTCAATCAGGCGCGAACGCAGGGGGGGGGGGGGGGGGGTACCCCCCACCTTTAACTTTTGTTATGTGTGTGTGTTTTGGGGGAAAACCCTCCCCTTCATTTTTTTTTTAATTTAAAAAATAATAATAATAATTTAAAAAAATGTGGTAATGGGTGACCCCAAAGAGCCGACCTGCGCCCCCCCAACGAAATTTGGGACACACACAAAAAAAATGTGCTCTTAAACCCCCCCCCCCCCCTTGAAAAAAATCCTGCGTACGCTACTGCTCTCAGTATTGTACATGTATTGTAATATCAATTGGATGTCGACATTTTAAATAATTTAGTATACTCATGGTATCAAAGTGAAGAGCAATATGACCACGAAAGGTGATCATAATAAGCGGTATAATGTTTATCCTCCAATGGTCTTAGTTTTCGGCCGAATGAAAAGAAAGAATAAAAGAGAAGGGGAAGATTACGTGTCTTCTATCCTCCCCCGGAGACATCAAGTCAATTAATTCAATAATCTTGGAGCCCCTGTAAACAGGTTGCAAAAACATCGTTTGACAACAAGAATGTCATTAATACTAATATTCTTCTAGTCGAGCAGAAGTAATATCGACGGCAACACTAGTAGGCATCAAAAGAGAGTTCATGGATGAAATAGATGCATGGTTGATGCCAGAGATTCTTTATTTTCATCATGCTTCTTCATTTTAGAGAGGGAGAGAGAGCAGGAGCGAGATAGCGAGAGAGGAAGAGAGAGAGAGAGAGAGACTAAACAAGATAATTTGAATTAGCAGTCACATTTTTTTGTCTTTGAGTAGTAAATGGTTAGAGATTCATTTTCAGTGTATAAAATAGTGACCAAATACTATTTGAAGAAAATGTGTTACGTTTGAAAATAGTTACTAAGCCTTAATAAAAAAAAAAAAAGAGGCCAATTTGATGTTCATTTTCACAGAGAGGGGGAGCCAGTGAAATTTCATACAATAGTGATAGGAAATTGAGTTATGTATGTCATTAAATTAGGTTTCTTATAATGATATGAAAATGTCTAAATACTAAACCAGTGTCGATCTGCTATCTTATTCTCAATTTCAATGGCTTAGCGTATAGGCCTATCCTCCCCCTTCTCCGTTTTCTCTTATATATATTCTCTGAGAGAGATGTATTTCGAAAACAACGTTTAATTAACGAGTGCTATTCTTTTTACAGCTATTACCATGAGTACTGACATGAATGCATACCTGTCAATATGATATTAAATGGACAAACATAATAGATGTGAAGCGGGCTGTTCATAATATTTGATACTATACCAAGCCCTGAACATTTTGATTCGTTTATTTGTAGTCAGCTAGCTAGTATAACTGTTTTTGAAGCGTGATCATGGTAGAAGAACATTCTACTAACAATGTTCGACAGTCCACAGTGAAGAGTTTATAGCATGGTGGCTGGATCAAGGTCTCTCGACTTTCATTTTTCATTCTTTTGTTGACCACCGTGGAGTGAATTCAGGTTAATAAGCCCTGTCAACCCCTGCCGTATGATTATCAACCTACGTCCTCAGTCCTCACCCAGACTGTCAGGCAATTATAAATATAGAGGGGGAAATAGAAGTCGGGGGCTACAAGCAATTCTTTTTGAAGTTGCAAGTACTTTTGCTGGTAATTTTGCATGTGATTGTCTCTAGGACTTTGAAAAGGATCTACTAAAATGAATGGTTCGAGCGATATTTCAGCGTAGCCCATTTTCTGTAAACATGTAATTTGGAGTCAATTAAATTTAGTCGCTTTGAATAGGAGCACATGCTATGGAGAAAGGCAAAGGGGAAGGGGCTCTTATTAAAAAGTAAAAGGGGCACTTATCAGTGGTGAAAAGGAGCAGTTATCAAAAGGGGAAGGGGTGCTTATTACAGAGTTTAAAGGGGCACTTGTCATATTAAAAGGGACACTTATCAGAGGTGAAAAGGGGCACTTATTAAAAGAGGACGGGAACCTTCTTACAGAGGAAACGGGGGCACTTATCAGAGGTGGTAATGGGCTCCTATTAGAATGTGAGACGAGCACGTATTAAAAAGAAACAAACAGGGGCACTTAACTGAGATAAAAGGTGGCACTTTTCCTATGTAAAAAGGGGCACTTTGGGGTTACTTGAAAAACTTGGTCATAAATTATAGATTATATTTTATATAATTATACCTTCTTTGTCACAAAATTGTCACAAAGAAGTTATTTTTGTATGTCCTTGGGTTATTTTCTTTGTGATGATTGTACCATTGTATGTCATCTCTATGTGTTTGAATAGAACGTGATATGTCATCACTGAAAGGTTTTCAGAAGTTTTAGAAGAGAAATGGTCAAGTTTGTTAATTTGTGGAATGATCAGCTCATTTATGGCGACTGGCATCGGTAGAAACGAAGTCAATACTCAAGTTTCTTTTGAGCAATTCGATAATTCTCGACTTTCAAACAGTGTTCGATATTAGCGATTGGTTATTACTGAGAATTTACAGGTGTATCATGGGTTGATAGTTACAATTAATTCAAAGAGAAATGAATCACCCGAGTGTAAATGGATAAAACCCAGTTGATTAGGGGTGCGTCGCTGCATGTAGGTGTTCTCTCTCTCTCTCTCTCTCTCTCACTCTCTCTCTCTCTCTCTCTCTCTCTCTCTCTCTCTCTTTCTGTCTATCTCTCTCTCTCTCTCTCCCCCTCTCTCTCTCTGGATTTACAACCCTTTTTGTCATTCTCAAACTTCACGATAGCCACGTATGTAATTTCCTAAAATAATATTAACATAATGCATACGTCTTTGTTACGTACCTCCTTACGAATAATTGTATTTCAATACTCAGAATTCTAACTGCATACATTACGTGTTTTTGGTCGGGCAAGCCACAATTTGTTTCCGACCTAGCAACAACTAACGTGTGTAATTTGCATCTGACCATTGATATACATAACTGGTGAATGTAATAGCTCGTGCCTGGTAAACGTTATAAACTTGACGTTTTGAAAACTGTCTATAATTAATATTTAACTTTGCCAGAAGTTTGGTAGCTTTTTATTTCTTGCTGATCACTCCTTGGTAGTATTAGTAGTATCTCTTTTTCCCGATACATTAAAATGAAAAGTACATAAATAATATGAATATATACAAAGAGTGCGACTAGATTGCCCATATTCAGCCGGGCCAGGCATGACATGGCTGGTCTTCCATGGTGTCCAAGAATATACAAACAGAAAAAAATTAAATGTAAACAATTAACAAAAAAAGTGAAACATAATTGAAGACAAACAAACACGCCATTCTATAAATGTGCATTTTATTTATTATGCATACTTCATTTTCATTAATCATTTAAATTTTTTAAAAATATAGAACTACTCTATAAAAATAAAATTAAACAAAAAAATATTTCCAATGGAAAATTTTGGAAAGTTATTCATTTATGGCACAAACTACATAATCTCATTTTCAAAAAGACTATTAACAATTTAATTAAGTTACAGTTCAATTGAATTTTATTATGTGACATACGTTTAACGAATTAGTTTAACTCTTACCTGTAATGAATCAAAATCAATACAAAATATAGCTTGTACAATTTAATTTCAAATCAAACATATCTTTAAAGTTTTATTTTATCTGATTAAATTTTAATTGGTTTAATTTATACAACTCAAACCGATCTATCTGAACTACTATAAAGAGGCAACTGATCCAAGTCAGTCCCAAATGACCACAAATCAATGGATCTTGCGATTAATTCAGTTCAAGTACCTCATTTCATATAAGAATGTGCCCTGATATATTTGAATTTAATTAGACCTTAATATATTACAATAAACTTAAAAGATATGTAATAATGGTTTGGTCCAATCTTTGCGACACAATGAACAGTACGTAACTATTGCTGGCACTATATATTACAACTGGCATGTTATAGTGTACAATAAAGGGCGTTGCAGGGATTTGCACGGTAAATATCTCAACAATTTAATCTACATTTGCCACTCTCCACCCAGGTGTAGTGAATGGGTACACAGTAGGAAAACATTCTTTGAATGATTGAGCGCCTGATCCGGCTCGGCTATAAAGCTGAAGTAACGATGATTACAGGGCCCGCGAGGAGAACAGTATGAACACTGAAGAGGCTACTCTGGGTAAACGAGACAATTTATTATTACTGTTATTGTTATTATTATCATTATAATTATCATTATTACTATTACTAATATTCCATTACTATTTACTGTAATACTATTTTAAGCTTAAATTTCCATTCCTGTAAATGGAGGGAGTATGGAGTCACAAGTTTCCTTATAATTTTGATGTCATTTTGATATATATATAACGTACAGATCTGTCTCTAACGAAGCGTCATTTCCATTGCGTTATTACCTGCGCTTATATAGAGCATAAGAAGAAAACTTGGTACATACACCTGTAATACAAAACATGTTCGCTCTGTTTATTGTTTATTCACCTCTTGTACGATGTTACCCTAACGGGGTGTGGCATAGACCGCATCATTTACTGACGGAGTCTTGCGTCAGTGACACCTCGTATGCATCGGGCCCATTGGAACGGTCATGTAATCAAGGTACTACGGCAGTCGTAATTACATCAACGTAACCTTATTTCTGACGCCTTGTACATGCAAATTACTAACCAGTCCTTACGAATAACGGTGGAAAATTAAAACATAAATGATCTCAATGCATCATTGCCTGTGCTAATCGAGCACGCGAAGGTTATTGAATTGGGAACATACACAGTCAAGTAATTGAAATGAATGTTGGCACTGTTCATTTCTTAAAATCCACTTTGAGTAGAGTGATACCTTGCAAGACAAGACGAAGAGCACTATAGAGTCCTACATCACTCAGCAAGTGACGCCTAGTATGCACCGCTGTCGTAATGGACAAACGAAATGAACGTCAAGAGAAATGGAACCCATTATTGCCTATAGTCTTGTACATTCGTTGGGATGATAGATCATAATGACTCTATAAAGACGAGTGGTTCAGCATCATGGCTCCATCTTACATTCTGATGTGGTAAGACAAAGTTTAGTCCAGAATCTTGAAAGGCCAGCTGCTCCTCTGAAAGATCCAGCTCCTGTCCCTGATACATGACACGAGACACGAGGCACTGACCCAGATTCACTCGCAATACACAGTCGCTGTTTATTGACACGTGTTGAAGCTGGGAACACCCGAAGAGGTTCAGATACCTGAGGAGGGGTGCGTGCTTAGGTACTGACACTGCCTTGGTGTTTCGACACTTCTCCAAGCTGAGATGCGTTATGTTCGGACACGCATTCAGCATACACTTGAGTGTGTAGTCTCCAATCATACATCGATACAAGATGAGGATAGATATACATGGAGATGACAGGACCATGGTCGCAATGGCACAATCAAACAGGCGAACCTTTCCTACAAATCTCGACGCTTGGATCACACATGACCTTAGGAAGACCCTCTCATCACTGCACATGTTGAACTCGAGTTCATCCAGACTTTCACATTGTACCAGTATGTTATGAAGAACGGGGCACCCTGTTAGGCAGATGTCTTTGAGCTGATCCGCAACTACAATGAGCTGCCTCAAAGACAACAGTTCCATCTCATCTTCCGTCTGGAGGTACTGCAGGGTTGGACACCGGATCGTGAGGACATCACTGCTAAAGCCATGTAAGAGACACACGATGCGGATACTGGGACATCTTTGCGAATCAAGCAGCAACTCTGGTGTTGAGACATTACCCATCAGTAGGGTAGCTATAGTGGGATTCTCTGACAACAGGTTGTAGAGGCTACGAGAGTCCAGGACGTCACAGTTACGAAGTTGTAATGTGGTGAGACGGTTACTCTGTACATTGATACTCCTCAAAACTCCAGCACCGTCTATCTACAAAGGACAGATTGAAAAATCAGATAGCTATATAAATAAATCATTAAACATGTCATCTTCTTGTGCATGATTTAACGGACAATATAATTATAACCTTAATTTTGACAGGACTGGTGTGAATAGTGAGATCATTTGGGTGTCAGTAGGAAATCTGAAGGGAAGGGAAATCTGATCGCCAAAACTGCAGAGATAAAAGAGATACGAATCACATTTTGACAAATTCCTCGTTTGACAGTTTTGCAATAACTTATTTTTGGCACAAATTATTCTTTCATGGTATATGATAATAGCATGGTGCCGATAAATACTTTCTACTTGTGGTGGTGATGCCGGTGATGGGGATGGTGGTGGTGTTATCTCTCATGGGCTAGTGTTTTTGGTTTAACTGTGTCGAATATAATTAAGACAAACCTCTAGAACCTTCAGCTTCCCAGCAAAGATCTCCACATGTTCGTTTGATTCAAGTCCATCATCTAAATGAAGCATACGCAGTGAAGGTGCAGTGATGCTGACGAAAAGCGCTGACCAGAGGTTGAAGAAAATGATTTTCTGAAGAGATGAGGAATGGATTCGCACACCATGTAGTCTCTATACCATGACGTTAAGGAGAAAGAGAGCGAAAGAGATTGTAGGGGAGGGGAGGAGGGATATATATAAATATGAAAGAGGGAGTGGAGGGGACAGGGATGTAAGATGGAGATGGGGAGGAGGGAGACAGAGACAGAGAGTGTTTGTGTGAAGATGAAAAGAATAAGATGTAATGGGTAGATTGACAGGATCGAAGTTAACCAAGGGGAAAAGAGAAAAGAGCACATTCAAAATAGAAACAGAGGAAGGTGAAATGGATATGTGAGTGAGAGAAAAAGAGAGAGATTATGTTATTATTTCTATATTGGTCAATTTAAAAAGTTTTAACGTTGATCTTGTCACTTAGTCCGTGCAAGTCTTTGTCCATTTGTGGGCGATGGGCCAGCACCACGCGTTAAGTTTCAAGAAGGGACAACATTAATCTAACAATAAGCTCCATTTTTACTGCAATAGGAGAATATTAAACACGGCATACATAATAATTGTATTTCACATGAATGTGCAATATTGTAAGCAACGTTTATTAAGAACGAAAGCCTTCAACAATCCTGATTGTTTGAAGTCAGCAATCGCGTGCGACCAGAATTACATGCAAACAACGGACAAGCTGCAATGTGTACACCACCTGGTTTGATCCTATTCGATCGTCGGCACACATATAGTTGGCGTTCTTTTTTCTTTATAATATATTTCCATGCGAACTTCCTTTTCCGAAAAAGTGATTTGCTGTTAGACTGACGTCAATAAGCCAAAACATTAATGTGTAATTATATCACGAGCATTTGTTTTTGTGGCGGCATTCTCTAGTGTAAACTGATCAACGGTGATGGATGTATATCATTCTTTATGCAGTATCAATCTATTCTGAATATAGAGGGGAGTATGAATAGCTTAATGACGGTATTTATTTCCCTACAATTTGGGGAAGCTTAAGTGTTCGTCATTGTTGAGACAGGGAGTGAGACACATTTGGCGATTTTATACCACACCTCCATGTACTGTCAAGATCGTGCTGAATATTTTTATTGAGGGCTATCGAATTTGCTTACTAAAAAAAATAAAAATTATCAAGCAAGGTCTGAGCTCGCACATTGAATATTATGCAATGGTGACTAATTGCCCACCTCTAACTAAGGCCTATACGAAGTTTCCTTCAAGCTGAAGTAAAGTGTGTTTCAAAATACCTTCCTTATTCCTTACATCAACTGCCGACAGAGCTAAGTGGAATGTACACAATTTAATCTGCTTTAACACGTTACGTGACCGAGTTCGGAGTATGATTAACATGAATCGCTATCGTGATGATTCACCGGGGTTTGGTTTCACAAAACCGTCACATAAGTACAAGTTCGACGGCATAAAACGCGTTTGATAAAATTAACACGTGTTTCAGTGGCATGTCGGTGAACATGTATTTATGACGGTTTCATGAAACGCTGCTCAAGTCACCAGATGATCATCACGGTGTAATCATAAAAGGGAATTATTTCACTGGGGTTTTGAGATTGCAAAATAATGTATCATCATCATAAACTACGGTTTTAAGATTGTGCAAGAAAAACATTTTTGTCGTTCTACCCAGGAGAGCCTCATCATCATCATTGATCATCTACCTGAGGGACTTGTAATGAGTATTATCCCAGCAACTGCTATGTACCCATTTACTCTTGGGTAGAGAGTGGCTAATGTAGATTAATGTCTCGCCAAAGTACGTTTGTGCCGGGCTGGGATTGGAACCCTTAACCCTGGAATTAAGCGTCAAGTTGATGATCCACTATCACACGACACCCTCAAATCCAATCTTCATTAGATATGAACGAAGTTTTGTTCACCCTGTTTTAAGACTTATAAGATTATATCATCATCTGACAGCACCTATAGATAGGAAGAAGGCTGGTGTTCCACTTGAGTTTTAAGATTGTAGAAGATTGCATCATGATAATGAAAAATAAATGTTTCACTCAGATTTTAAGAATTACCATTTTTCTTTGGACCCAATGTGTTTTTCACTAATACCGTTAAAATTCATTTGCATTTGCTGCTACCCGTAGGGTCCCCGGTTAGTTCCCAATTTACCACATAATCGTCACATAATCCGTATCGGCAACGCTTTCTTTTCTCAGCTTACCTTGAGCAGAGATAATTAAGAGGTTTTATTGGGTGGAGCAGGCGTACGAAAAACAAGTCTGAGGGATCTATTTATACCCATATTCCCTGAATCAACAAGCCAGCATCCCGCTCAATCTATCAATTGATCTCAAAGAGCAAACATTCTCCCTAGTCTACGATATCAAACACCTACTGTACGACATTCTCATTAGTCCGTCAAGTATCATTTATGTCATGAAGACAGAATGTGTTTGTGAAAATCACTCAACTGATAAAGCACTTCTGCAGCTGTTTGAGACTGATCGGGAACATAATGTTTGCCTGAAATTAAGGTAGATTTGCTGACAAATTAAGCAAGTGATTATTATCGTGCAAATGTATACCAATAATTTTACTGGTTCTTTTAAACATTTTCCTTGTTTATTTCTCGAACATGCATTACTTGTTAGATTTAAGATACTACACAAGTCATGTAGTCAAAATAGTTTTTATTTCATGATGAATAATAATAACCCTCTAAAATAATAGATACACACATAAATCTTTTCTGAAAGTAAATATGGAAAAAATATCATGGTATGTTGTTATAATTTGTTGGCCTCTATATTGGATCAGCAAACTGCACGTTTAGTTTTAGTTTTTTTCATCACTACTTCCTTGGTCCCAGTTTTTGTCGTTATATTACACAAGAACCATGTCGACATCATTCCAAATGACGCTAATGCAATCTAGATCTCAACTCCCGTAGACATTTATTCTCAAAATAAATGTCTTTCTCAGAATGTCTCGGTGGTAATTATAGCGTCTGTAATGGTAGACTATGTATACCCAGAAATAGACTATGACGTCAAATCCGCGGAAATAGCACCATGAAATACGTGGGCACAAGATGCTTTTACGTCAATCGAAACCGTGTGGGGGGGGGGGGGACACAAAAATGATATGCAGCCGCCTTGCTCGCGCGATAACAGAGAAACGTCTTATTCCTAGCTCAATATCAGAATACCAAAACCATCGCTGTTCATCAAAGATTGATCAACCTTATCTTATATCAAAATCAAGCGAAAAGAATGCATTATTTTGGCTAACTGCCTTTTAATGTATATTCTTCTAAATAACCCTATTTTTGTATCATCCATGTTTTCCCCCGAAATATGGCCTTCACATAAGCGGCATACGTATCACCTCGTTCTGATGCCTACGTAATTCTATTCTCATTTTCTTTCTTTTTCGCCATTACCTATCTTCTCTTCTCTTCACGCCTCGTCTCTCTTTCTCGACGTTAATAATCTACATTCACTAATAGCCATTTAATGTTGTCTTTTTGTGTTATTCTCTCCTATGTTTTTATTTAATTCTTAAGTTATGCTTAGCATAAGTCACGGCAGTATTATATACAAACAAAAATCATGTTCACTTATTATGACTTATGATCAGTTATTGTTGACACCTCTTTACGAGTGAAGGGATAATGGAAGACTGTTTAATGGTGGCTTTACTTGTAATAGGCCGATATTGAAGTTAATTAAGCCTCACCGACTCGCCGATTTAATTTAATTTCATTCATTTTAGTAGATAAACAGCGATAAGCATAATTCTAAGGAGATAATGTTAATAAGGCGTATATTAAAACGAGATGATGTGGCCTCGTGGATACGTCACCTGACAGTACTCTCGCGGTTTGCGGTTCGAGTCTCGCCATGGCAGTAATGTCCTTTGACAAGACAAGACATTCATTTACGTTTGCCACTCTCCACCCCGGTGTAGTATATAGGTACCTGGTAAGAATTTACTCATTGAATTTTTGGGGCAGCTGGGCTAAATTAAGCCAGAATAATAATGAGATTGTGTAGGCGCTCGTGAGGATCCTCTTGGATGAATATGTGCACATTATAAATATAGCTATTATCACTTTAATTGTAATTATCATAAGCCTAATTAATAGATCTGAAAACGGAACAAAGGAAAATTGATCTGCTGGCTATACATACCTCACAATTGGCCACAACCAGTTTCTTGAGCCTTGGTAGCGCATTGACAACAGCCCAGAGTTCATCCATCTCTAACGCGAGGAAGCTCAAGCTTAAGGATGTGATGGCTGCACCTCTGACACCTTCCTCAAGATGTCGGGTTAGTTGGTTACCACGTAACATCGCTTGCTCGCTGCGGATATCACTGATAGGCAAACCTGCATTGATCTTTAGCTTGCATCGTATCAGGTTCGGAAGAGCCTCAAGGAACACTTCAATGCCCTTGTAGGTGATCAACCAACACGCGTTCAAGGTCACGTCACGAAGGGCAGGGAAGTTACAAGCTGCTGCAATCAGATCTTCGTCGTTCAGCTCGAAGGCGCCATTGATCTGAAGTTCTTCAAGATTGATGAGAGGTGAAAAGGTATCTACTACACCACGGTTCCAAATGATGGGCAGTCTTAGCACTGTCAAGGATGCCAGATTAGGGATAAGAAGGAAGACCGATTCATAAACTCGTGTGCCAGGCATCCATGTCAACTTCTGAACATGGTTACCATAGACGGTAAATATGGTACAAAGAGTTGCGTAATGTTTCGGACGGTAGTCATCAGGCTCAATGTTGAGTTCTCGCCAGAGGGTTGAGGCTTCGAGGAGCACCTTGCGCCACTTACGACAAACTCCTGCAAAGAGTGGCAGGCCATCATTGACAGGATGCAGGAAACTAAATATCCGTACAAGAAGTTCCTCAGGCAACCGATGAAAGTGGCATCCCGCCTGTTCGACAGTAGGCACCTCATAATCAGAGAAACTAGACGACTCTGTGCGAGTTCGCTGCCGCACCATGGCGTTCTTGACAGCTGTCAACGTCACTTCCATCTCTGTTTACCCCTAACTATAGAGTCGCAGGAACGTGTTATCTGTGTGGATATATCATATCAGCTGCGGGTACAGTCAGCGAGAACACATGGCAGTTCTAGCTTGCGGCGTGCAATAATGGCCGATCTATGCATTCCATCACGTGGAAAGAGAGACTCATTTACATCTAACGTAGAAAGCAGCTGTACATGTATAGGTTACTTGACTCTCAGTTGCCAGTCGAAACATGCATGTGTTTTACAAACCATTGTTGAAATACATAGTCTGTCATGCTGATGTGTCTTTCCAAATGCCTCTTCAGATATAGGTCAAAGTATCACAGCAATTGGATGGGGAGGCAAAGCGGTGTTGCGTGCATGGGTAATGCTTGGTAAGGCATTACAATACGCCAACCACTTGCACGCCACCGGTCGAATGCTTGCACTAAGAGCTCCCGAGGAGAAGATGAAATACTGTCTCCATGGCAACGAGAGAATGACGTCAAATGCAGAGGACCATATGTTGAGTGTCTCACGCCTCTTTTGAATGGAGTGTTGTGTCGGATGTACTTTGAACTTCGCTCTAGATAAACCATCGTGTTTAAAGTGACACGTTTTGCTTTTATATTCGATTAAAACGTGATGTAATGTCGTGACTCAGAATTTGGTGTGATTCCTGTCTGTGCATACGGTATAACATTAACATATTTTTTGTTCTAAATTACATATCATTTTCTTTCGGTACAATCATCTATTATTTATGATTATAAACATGGAATATGCCATATTAGCCTAACACGTAAAGATAGAAGAATAAAGACGATGCAGCCTATACGTAAAAAGCTTCTATTAGGAAGCTAACTTACTGAGACTGGATAAAGAAAAACAATACACAATAAAGAACAGATCATGGATGAGAATGGCATTCTGATATATTCTGTCAAACCTTTGAGTCTTTTATGCCATTGTAATTATTTTGTACGACGGTAAAACTAACATCATTATCGTGATTATGGACTATCATAATGCGCTATATTATAAAAAGTCGTTACTACTACCACTATTTACATGTATAATTATTATATATATATATTATTATTACTACTATTTTTGCTGTTATTATTATCATTATCATTATTATTGATATCATTACTATTATTATTATCACCATCATCATTGACACGATCACAACTACTTTTGACAAATCAATTAGGCCTACCGTTCAAGATTCAAGATTTTATTGTCCATAATATAATACAGAAATTTGTTTTCCATTGGTATAACATGTAATACATAAAACATAAGACAAAAACATGGTGTCGTGTGTTGAAAGCCAGAAGGGCGTCAAGACTCTATAAGAAAAGGTCTATGATGGGTTAGGGCAATTTTGATGGCCTTGTATAATCATCTTTTGAAACGTGCGAACATTACGACGGGATTTACGTGAGAATGAGAAGGGCCGAGTAAACATTAGACTTCAAGCCTTTCTCATTCTCACCTGCCGTTTTACGTATTCCGAATATGATGTATTTATTTATTAATTGAAAATATCCCTCAGTATATTTTTCGAAAGAAGTTTCGAACGTGTTCATTATATTTCATGGTGAGACATGAAAATAAATTGGCAGAATCATGCATCAAACAAAATGAAATGCGGAGAACAAATTGAGGATACATAACAGGACACTTAAATTAATTAAGATGGAAGAATTTAAAGCATAAATTGCAGTCTCATAATTCTTATCAAAAAAATAAGAGACAACCAATTACCCGACGTTCAAAGTAGGATGGCATTAAGTCGTACATGACTGTGAACGAAATATGACAGAAGATATAAATCGTATATCACTATGAATATGTCGGACAAAGAAAGCGGACAAAATATACAGTTCCTCGGGTATTATGTAAAAAGGTGAATATGCATGTACACCTGTTCTACACATTTTTACATAATAGCAGTGAAGAGATGATCCTTTGTCTACCTGCGGAACTGTAAATTTTGTCCGCTTTCTTTGTCAGTCATATTCATAGTGTATGTATCATCACATGAACTTTGTTTCCGATGATCCATGTGCATAACGTTGTTTTAAATGAAGATTTGTTTTCCTTTGTAAAATGATTGTTTGAGGGAGGGGAGGGGGGAAATGGGAGTAGCAGTAAAATAACCTCCAATTTTTCTAATGTTATGTTATATAAGTGAATAACTATGTACAATTGACTTATAAATTATCTTTATGTACCTCAAGTTTACTTTCAATTGTTGCTCAGAAACTGTACTGCAAATGAGTTTTTGTTTAATTATATTTATGTATAAGCAATAAATATTGAAAACGTTTAATTATTTTTTTCAATTGTATTGTTGTATTACACATTTGGAGGAATAAAACAAAAGTACTATAAAAAATTTAAAAAATAAACACAAAAAATTTCCAATTTTAGAATAAGTCACTTGAAGATTAGAGTGGTCAACTTGTGTGACGTCATTTTTAGAGTTTCCAAATTTGAACTTCATTTTTTTCCGAAAGAGCATCAAAAATGATGTCCAAATGTCGAAGAAAAAAAAACTAATAAAATATGTAAAAGATAATACAAAGTTTTAGTATGGAGTCATGAATTTGGTTCAAAAGAACATATTGCAGGGGCGGATCTAGCTTTTTTGCTAAGGGGAGGATTTGACCCATTGACGCATGATGCGGAGGTAGCGGCGAGGCGGTTTTTTTTTTTTTTTTTTTTTTTTTGGGGGGGGGGGGGGTTGCTATTTTGAACCCCCGTAAGTGATCATTTCCAAGGAGGAGGGGGGGGGGTTAAACCCCCTACCCCCCCCCCGTAGATCCGCCACTGTATTGGAAGCATATGTGATCCTACAATATCATCGTTGAAATCGAGTCTAAAGTGATGAAATTGTGAATAATAAACTCTTTTTGTTGTATAAGTCCCTCTCAAGAATGATATTAATTTAGCTTCAAAACCATGTTTTTTGACTAAATTCGACCTATTTTCTATTGCCGTTTGGAAATTTTATATCAGAACTGCATATTCTGAGATTTTTATGGTCGCATCTTCCATTGTATGGCCGTAGGTGCCATTTTGAATATATCAGAAGTACCGATAAATTTGAGATTTTTTATTTCTCGAAATCTTAAGCATTTTATAGCTCAATTTTTTCTAATTTGTTTATTCTAACACTAAGTTTCAAAATGATAATGCAAATTTTAAATCTCATAATCCAAACCTGTTAAGATATTACCAATACTTTGTATTACCTTTAAGCGGGCTAGCGGATCCAGGATTTCCAATGGGGGGGGGGGGGGGCGGAAATGTGAAAATCGCGCAGTCCGTTATTTCAACTCAACATACCAATACTGACATCGTCATTATTAGAAGCACCGTATTTACCAGTACCTACAAGCGGGCACAATTTTTGAAAGGAGGCAGGCTCAGCTAGGTCACATCTCTTGTCCTATATCAACATTTCCTGATTTTAAGTTATGCTCGCGCGCAAAGCGAGTATAGGGGGTTATTTATCACCATAAGATACAAAAAATGCATAGCCGGTAATTTTTTAATTTTCGGGGAAAGAGAGGCTGCAACCTCATCTCGCATTAACTGCAGGTATTATGAAATGAAATTTGAATCCTTGTGGAGTATAGAAACAGCTCGTGTTACAACCATGATTTGGAATTCAGAACAATTAAACTCCTTTGGTACTATGTGTTTCATGACTGTCAAAATGTATGAAACACTTTCTTTATATCTGTACATAACATTCATGAATGACTTTATCACTCTCGTTTGCTTACAAAATACCAACGTGCTTATATTACTCCGTATTCCATACGAGTACAATATAATTACATAAATTTCTTTTTTTACAAACCACTATAAGAAGCAAAGCCGTCGACTCTTTTTCATTAATTGTTGGGGTCTGGGGATGACTTATCTTAGTTAAAAACGTATAGGATACACAGCCCAGATATTATCAGAGGCCACTGCCCAAGATACCATTCTGACCGAGACCCTATTCGAATCGTATTTCTTTAAAGGGAAAATATATGAAAAATCATGTGAGAGCACACAATTATGTTGGTAGAAATGAAAAGCAAAATACAGGATCTATCAAAGCTACTATAGTACACTTTCACTTCGAAGTATCTGCATGTTAATATTATGAGGGAATCTAAAATAAATACAAACATCTATTTCAATTACCTTCCAGTTGTCTTATAATGGAGAATATACTGTAGTAAATACTGAATATTGCTTGGCTGAAAGCTATCGTGACGACATGTAGCAGACGTATATAGTACACCCGAAGAATCAAAAGTGTTTTGAATTGATGCAAAATTCATATCATTGCGAAGGGGAAGCCTTACTGATCAAAATACAACTTCCCTCTTTAAAATAGGCCTATATGTTTGGGGCTCGCAGTAATCATCTCTCAAAAATGTTAATTTTGAGATCCAGATGTTCTGCCTTCAACGGTCCTCCGTATTGATAGAGCGTCAAGATTAATGACGTCACACGCGAAACACAGCTAGCCAAAAAATTGCATTTTACGCCTTTCAATGATATTTTTATGATTTTTCAGCAAATTATTCGTGTGTTTCAAGAGAAAATCTTTTCATCCATATATAATTTGTCCATAATTATCAGTTGTCGTGAATTTTCTTCGGGTGACTACTTTAACCAAGTCCTTTTCAGCGACCGTTTGTATTTGCTTTTACTGAAACAGACTAGGCAATTCTGGACAGGAGTTGCAAGGTTGCAAGAGTGCTATACTCAGCAAATAATTCAAAACCAGTTTGAGTAAAGCCCCGTTTGAATACAAGACGGTTTACCACGTCATGTCTGACCGGGTCTTGGAATTATGAATATGATATCTCGAGTAAACTGCGCCGCGATGCCATCGGCCATTTAACTTCAAAGGGCATTTGAGAGAAAATGTGTAATCCATGCTATAATCCTGCATACTTGCAATTTATAGGCCATCATGATTTGTGACTATAAGTTAGGGGGAAGAGAGAGAGTGGGGAATAGGAGCAGTGAAAATCACTAGATGATGATTTGGATGGCGGATTTTGCATAACAAGGAAAAGGGGCACTCACCTGAGAAGAATAGGGGCGCTTGTGAGAATGGAGAGGGGCACTTGTCAGGCGCGGATCCATGGGGGGGGGGGGCTGGTAAAAAAAAGTATACAAAAAAGACGGGCCCCTACCCCTGACCAATTAGAAAAATTAGAAAATCTTGGATCCGCCACTGGCACCAGTGGCGGATCCAGGGGGGGGGGCCGGCCCCCTCTCCCCTGGCAAAAAAAAGGAAGAAAAAAAGAAGGAAAAAAAATAGGAAAAAAAAAAAGGAAATAAAAGGGGAAAGATATCAAATGTATCAGAATATGCTCATCTGACCGTAATAAATACCTAAAACCCCTCAACTTCCGGTGGCTCTGCCCCCTGGACCCCACCTAGGGCCCTAAGGCGGACGGCTGGATGCTAATCTGACGGTAATTTAATGCTTAAAACCCCTGAGCTTCTGATGTCTCGGCCCCCTGGACCTCACGCCAATTAGTGTCCTGCCAGTGTCACAAATAAGGCATCAAAATATGTTCATCTGACCGTCATGAAATGCCTAAAACCCCTAAGTTTCCGCGGCTCCATCCCCCTCGACCCCACCAGGGGCCCTAAGGCAGGCCCCTGCATGCTTGTCTGACCGTTTCTGACTAAAATGCTGGGGGCTCCGCCCCCTAGACCCCACGCCAGTGTCACAAATAACGTATAAAATTATGCTCATCTGACAGTAATTTGATGTATAAATCCCCTGAGCTTCTTGGGGCTCCGCCCTCTGGTCCCAACACCAATTTGTGTCCTGCCAGTGTCACAAATAGATATAAAAATATGCTCATCTACACCGTTATTTATCGCCCAATACCCCTGAGCTTCCGGGGCTCCGCCCCCTTGACCCCACACCAATTCGTGACTTGTCAGTGTCACAAAATATGCTCATCTAATGATAATTTAATGTATAAAACCCCTGAGCTTCTTGGGGCTCCGCCCCTGGACCCCACGCCAATTTGTGTCCTGCCAGTGTCACAAATAGATATAAAAATATGCTCATCTGACCGTTATATTTTGCCCCAAACCCCTGAGCTTCCGGGGGCTTCGCCCCCTGGACCCCACGCAAATTCGTGACCTGCCATGCAGTGTCACAAATAAATTATAAAATATGCATATCCGACGTAATTTAATGTAAGGTAAAGAGCACATATTTATTTTTTTCTTCCTGAAAATCGGAAAATTATGCCGAACGATATTTCGTTCAGTGGAGGGGGGGGGGGGGGGGTAAGGTCAATCTTTTTCTCACCCTTTAGCCCTTTAAAAAAGTTTTTTTTTTTGTGTTTTTAAAAACTTTTGACAAAAAGTGAGGGGGGGGGTATCCTCCGATACCCACACATTAACACAAATTGAGGGGGGGGGGGGGGTTAACCCCAAAACCCCCCGTCTGCATACGCGCCTGGTCATCGCTCTATTTGCAAAGCTTCTACCAGGGATAACTCACATACCCTGCTTCTACTGAACTTTGGAACAAACTACCTTTAAATGTAAAAACACTGTCAAACTGTTAACCAATTATTCAAAATTGTTTTTGTTCATATTGATGTGTATTTCATATGTATTGTAATTTGTAGGCTTATTTGCACTTGTTTTGTTTTGTTTAATATGTTATTGATATATAAGCAGTCCAATCAGTCTATTTTGTTTGTTAAAGCGTTTAGAGACTTCGGCGCGGCGGTAAGCGCTTTATAAGCAACGTTTTTTAAAATTATTATTATTAATTAAATCCGTCTAAAGAAAACTAGAGGGTCAATGCTAATGATAATGCTAATGCGTATTGACCTTCAGCGCTGCACTACGTGCTAAGAGGCAGCAATTGCACACATGAATAGTCAACACACACAGTGCACACAAATGCACACTACGCGATGTACCGGTATATTTGACCGGAAAGTTATACTCACAAAAAAAACAAAAAAAAATTATTCTTTCTAACATTGATAAGTTTTAATAAAAATTCTGCTACTTAGGTGTCATCAATTGTCACTACAGTACCGATTTTGAGTGAAAGTAGTTAAGTTTTGTACAGTGGTGTTTGAAATGTTGAGAATTAATAGACCAATTTTTTAATACACAGCCAGGATAGTATTGCAGCTATGGTTCTAAACCATAGAGAGATATATATTTATTAAGTATAAATCTCTATTAAAACCCCATCCTTGATTCTCGGCACAGTCGTGTACTATGCATTTTCCTCTTTTTATTTGCTTATTTAACGACACCTTATCGTTACCCAATTTCGCAAACACGTTTTTGTTTGAACTTGAAGCTTATCGACAAGACAGAAATCTACAAAATGGCAGCAAGAAAGGGACTAGAAGTGTTTGTGTCTAGATTACCATGGACCATCGGTATCCGTAAGTTAATAGAAACTAAACTTAATCACCCCTTCCGCAATTCGCGCACCCGACGAACATTGCACAAAACAATCATAAAGGCAGTAGACCCTAGATCTAACTCGCACACATACATGTACTATGCAGGCCCGCCTGCGCAATTTTTTTTTACACGCTAGCCTGGCCATTTCTATGATAAACACCATGGAAACGACTAATATTAGTCTAGCAGCCTACATGCGAGGTGCATGATGATACACATGTAAATCATGCATGACAATCATCAGATAAAGACATCGCTGGCCCTTGTAAATGAGACGGTCGTCGCAGCCATCGGGCGATGGAATTCAAAAACTTAATTTATTTTAATTTAATTTAGGAACTTTACATTAATCTTGATCTAAGGAGACACGAACGAACGAACGTTCAGCTAGAGAGCAACTCTCATCATATCCCTGTAGCAACCAAAGTTAAACTGCTGTAGTGCGTGCCTATGTGTAGGCTTTACCACCAGCGCACTTCTACGAGTATTACGGCGAAACTGGCCAGGCTAGCGTGTAAAAAAAATATTCGCGGCCCGCCTAGGTGGATTACTATCCTGGCTGTGTATTGAAAGCTGTGCTTTTGATTCTCAACATGCACATTTCAAACACCACTGTACAAGACTCAACTGATTTCACTCAAAATCGGTACTGTAGTGACAATTGATGACACCTAAGTGGTCCTTGAGAAAAAAATCATGTAAAATCACGTGATTTTTACCTTTTTTGGGGTTGGGCCCCCCCCCCCCTGGCGCTCAAGGGGGGGGTGCAAATTGAAATTTTTTTGAGGATCAACAACAAAAAAAAAAATGTGCTCACTACCCCCCCCCCCCCCCCCCCCCCCCCCCCCCCCCCCCCCCCCCCCCCCCCCCCCCCCCTACTGAGCGAATTTTTGGCCGGCGCGTTTTTCAAATTTTCGGGATTTTAGGGATTTTCGGCAAAAAAAAAAAAAAGTTGGGCCCCCTCCCCTAAGAAATCCTGGATCCGCGCCTGGTCCTAAGTATACAATACAAATGCAGTCTAGATCTAGGCAATATTGTTGTGTGGTGTGTATATTGTCGGCCATCTTGTGATATAAGCCACTGGGGACCTAATCGAGCACCTACCTAAATTCACGGGCGCTAGTGTAGTTCCGTATCCATTTTTTTAGCAGCTTAATATCCATTCTTGGCAAAGGAGTTTTAGCCCAATTTTGTACTCATTTTAATCATAATCATATATCGCATTTTCCACCTGAATTTGGATCACATCACATTGGGCCCGTCTTCTTTTATTTCTTCAAAAAAGATTAAATTTACCTGTTTTGGGGGCCAGGGTGAGGGGCCAGAAGCTAGATCTGTAACTGGATTAATGTTGGCTGGGCTTGATGTGATATAGGGTTCTACAGAGAAGCAAAGATGGATGATGTTTCTAGTCTTTTCTTTTTCACTTTCTATCTTACAGAAGAGCTGCGATCCTACTTTACTCAGTTTGGGCCTGTGAGGAATTGCAGAATAGCTTTTGTAAGTATTTTTAAGTTACCGGTAATTATTTTCAAGGGATCTATGTATACTCCCTTATGTGTTGTGAAATACAAAAGTGCGATGTGCACTAGTTTATATTTTTCTTCAGCATTTTGAGGCAGTTTATGCCATTTAAGGTGAGAATGGCTATATTTCAACATAGGTTAATTATTTCTTATGCCACATTAACAATTTCCCTGTGCTGCATTCAATTGATCATAGGATATGGGTTAGGTACATGTATACCAAATGCTTCAAGATTAATTGTTTGCAGTACAAGCTTAATCTATACCATTGTTAAATGGGTTGTCAAGGATCTAATCCAGACCAGAAATGGGTCATTTTACAAAGCTGTTGTGTTGCACAAAGCAACCCAGGTGAACCTCGCCATCATCACAATTTTCTCGCGAGAAGGGTGTTGCCAATAGCTGCGCAGGTTGTAATCATGATGTCATAGTTTATGCTAGCTTTAACAGATTTGATTGGTTTTTAAAAAAAATTGCTGCCAGGCGGCACAAAATATGATTTGTACCACTACCTTTTTTTTTGTTTACTTCATAATTGCCATTCATTTATACACCAACAAATGTGGGTTTGCCGCTGCATATCTGAACAAGATCAATTGGAAACTAAGCTTGCCTTGTCTTCTCATCTTGTTGTTTTTGTTTAGGATGATTCCACAGGGTTCTCTAAAGGGTTTGGTTTTGTGAGCTTTGGTAATACATCAGGGATGCAATCTGCTCTCAAGAGAGAACAGCATCTCCTTGATGGACACAAGGTATGTGTGAGTCTACTTTATCAGCTCAATTCCAAGCATTACAGAATCATATTTCCAGAGAATTTTCTATTTTGAATAAAGAATGGACATTTTAATAAAAGTCTGTAAATTAATGATATGATCATGATGTATTTACATGTACCTATAAGGTACTTTAACAACATTTGGGTTTCCTTTCAACCATTTATCAAATTTATAAAATATAGAGTTTTATATAGGTTTGTTATGGAATGACATAGAAGGTCATTTTGTTCATTCTGCTACACAGCTGTTTAGATTTCAATATTTTGTTAATCTGATGAATCGTTGATAGGAAAGGCAACTGTTGTCAAAGTACATGTACTTCATAATGGTAGATTGTCTTAATAGAAGCAGAAAAATAAGGAACAGGCCAATGAAAGTATGAGCAAATTCCTATTAGAAATAAGAAAGTTATGAATTTCTGAAGTTGTGGTTAATCAAACACTAATTTGCTACTCTGTAAGTTACGTATCTTGCGAGCTCCTCTCCAAATTTGCTCTGTATATTCTTTGTTATTGATGACAGAATATATTTTTTCCATACAGGGGTTGAATAGAAACAAACATGTTTTTCGCAATAATTGTATTTAGATTGCATGTATGATTGACCATTTTCTTAATGGAAAATAAAATTTCTGACTATTTTTAGTACAGAAGGGAGTTTGCAAGATACGTCACAGAGTTGCCATCTTGTGTTTGATTCATCGCAACTTTTAAAATTGCATAACTTTCTAATCTTTAATCAGAAATTGCCCAAACTGTCACTGACCTGTTCCTCTCACTTCTCTGCTTCTATTAAAACCAACTTGATATTAGAGTGGACTTCCCCTTTAAGGAGTATGAAGAAAATAAATAATAAAATGAAACTGTGCACACAGAACTGAAGTCGGATTTGGGTTCATTGTGGGCCCTAGTTCATTGGAGCATGTTGATGCATCAAACAGTCTACTCACAAGTTAATTTTTTGTTTGTTAATTCAGAGAGTATTTCAGCTCGCAAATCTCTTACCAGAAGTAATATATGAGGCTCATATTTTGATTATAGTATTGCAACATGGAACTACTAACAAACAAAACAAAATATTGATTAGTTATCGGTACACTTAAAATGTTAAGCCAAAGAATACCGATTATGTATTTTCGTTTGGGGAGGGGGGGGGGGGGCGCCAATTAAATTTAAATTCAACTAAACCTTATACTGATATTTCTTTTATCTATGTTTTCTTGTTACTGCCAGGTGAATGTGCAAGCCAAGCAGAGCACCTCTCCAGCTGTGAAGAAACTACAAATATCAGAAGTGATGGAAAATGGACATTGATTTTAAGGAGATCATTGGATGAACTCATTTGAATATTTATGAGAAACTCATTTGAATATTTATGAAGAAACAGTGCTCAGATGCAAGGCCACGGCATCTTTCACTCCTTGAATCTTTCTTCCAGAATCATTTATAGACTTGAATACCTACCGTTATGAGACAGTGATATAACAAGGAACAAACTGCTTCTGAAATAGGGCCTCTTGCATAGATTTCAAGATTGAATAGAAGATGTGTGTAAAGATGAGTAAGTAGCATTTGAAACTCCGCCCATGATAATGATAATCCTCTTAACTTAAAAATTTACCTTGACCTCTAAAGCCCACAGCACACCATATGATCCTAATATTTGATTTCAAAACAAATGGCAATTGCAGTTAACTCTGCACAATTAAAATCTGTTGGAAATACAAAACTCAACTTGAGGAAAATTAACCCTGTCGAGTCTGTACACATTGCTCACCAAAATATCTTGTGAAAAGGGTATTTTTCGCTGGTTAGAGCAACTGACACATTTAGGGTGTCAAATGGGCAAAAAGGTTATGTTTGTTGAGTTTGATGAAAAGCATTTAGGATATCCCTTTTCTCATTCTTTTGTAATTGGTTAAATTGCATGAGGTTTGCATTGTATTTTTCTCTACAGTGATTTTCAGGTATTTCCAATAATATATTATTGTATTAATTGACATGTTTTTTGTCAGGTAACAGAAAATTAAATTACATGTTATTATCACACAAGAGTTCCACTTGTAATGTGTTCCTTTTTCTTGTCAGAATCTTTCTGTTCACCATATCTTAGTTTCAGCCAAATGGAAAGTCACAGGTATTCATTGCATAAATCTTCTAATTGTGCATTAATTGCTAAAGCATTTGTATGAACATGTGAAGCATTTTATGTACAAAATACTATAAATATTAACAAATCTCTACTCCTTATTCTTGCTGGATGAGAGGGCATGTGTTGAACAGACAGAAGACATTGAAACATAATCTGTTTACTTCTGTGTTAATGATTAGCAACAGTGTTTTAGCATGGACCTATTACGGATGGACATTTATCGTTTGGTTAACGAATTCATTGTGATTGTCTCCATCAATGTCTTCTCAATAACATTCCGTACATTTTTCTTCACTTTGATCTCATGAGGTCCACTGCCAATACGCCGGCACAGAATCAAGATAGTGATTTTACACATGTTAATCTACATGTGCAGAAGATAATAAATCGTTTAAATCATGGAAAATTGATTTGCAGTTTTGGTTAATAATCAGAAATTGTTCTGAATACAGTGTTTTTGTTTGAAAAACATGTTGATATTACCAGATAGAGTTCATATTTGGATTGTTTGCAATTTAAAATCCTGTTTCCCACAATTTCCTCATAATATTCCAGAGTTACAACGCAAAGGGCTTATAAAGATCATGGCCTTCTAATTGTTTTATAATGTCATTGGTGCGTGCGAATCAGTATTAATCAATTTCATATCACTAAAATCGTCTGCTTTTCAACTTTGCTGCTCCCCATTGGTAATGTTTTTATTTAAGACTCACTCTTACAGAGCACACCATCCAAGCAAAACCAAGAGAGGGAAACTGCTCCTTTTACAATGACCGAAAGAGCTTTACGCAGTCATTATTGTTAAAACAGCTGAATGTTCTCATTAAGATGAACATAATCAGAAGGCGGCGGATCTCATTGGATCAAAGAAAGAATCACATCGAATGTCCATCCGTAATAGGTCCATGGTTTTTAGTGAGGCCCAAGACCAATGCATTGACCAACAGCTATTGAAACATGGGGAAAACTCTTCTTTTCTGTGTGAGCCTTAATCTTTGTATGCTCTTTTACGGATAAAGGTTCACACAAAAAAAGACAAATCTACATAATGGGTGTTTCTATTCCAAACAATCTGTACTACACACTTCATGTTTTTTATTTGGAGGCCTTTTATGTTAAAGATAAACTCCAGTACTGGTAAAAAATAAAAAATAATTCTCACAGAATCAAACGAAACTTACACTGAATGTTCAAGATTACAAATAAATGACATATGCCAAACAATTTTGGAAGAAAATGTATACTGGCTGAGGAATGAGCATAGAAATACAAGGAAATCAAGGTAGTACTAGCCCCAACACCATGTGTGTTGTCCCATATATAGCTTTCTATGTGAGTGCTTGTTACTTTACCAAGACTCGGTCAAATTTATTATGATTTTGATGACTCCAGAACCTTGCAGTGCTCACCAATACTTTCATGCTACATGATCAACTGTTTCTGATCCTTTCCACACCTTTTCTTTCACAATGCAATCGCATTACCAGTACTCAAGTTTATCTTAAAGCTACAATTTGTGACGGCTTCATAACATAGCGTTATCACACAAAGCAACCAAACCATTTTAAACATTTCCTTGAAGAAGAAAAAAATGAACTTATTAATGCCTTGAAAATGCCATGAATTTTCCTGGAAAATGTCAAGGCTTTCAACCCTTGAGACCAAACACAAAAACAAGTTTTAAAATTTGCATATGTGGATTGTATGAAACACTTTATTTGTCTACATGTCTACAATGTACAAATAGCAATCTCACATTGTGCGTCTACATACATTGACATGCTGTCATTGATTCATTTACTTGAAAAACAGAAAAAATGAATAAAACATGATGAATGTGACTACATCTCCCCCATGACTCTGCTTATACTGTTTTGCATTGAATGGTCATATATAGTTCAAACAAAGATCAAAGTTCTTAATGTGGAGATTCTTGACCCATCACATGTACCTTATTACACCAATCTAATCCTTTCAAATCTTCAATTCCCCATGAGCAACTAATAAATTATCAACTGACCGTTTACCAATTTGTTGCCTCAATTTGTTCCAAAGATATCATCATTAGATGGCAGTATGGACAAAAGAACAAAATAAAACGCAAACCAAATGCCTCTTGCATTGCTTTTGTGGCAAGAGCATGTAAGTGAATTTAAATGGTAACAATAAAAACATATCTATGTCTTCAAGATAGATCCAATATACATGTTTACTTGCATGTTTCTCTTCATAAGCCCTGGTTACCAATTATTGAATTCACCTGAATAATAGCACCGCTATGGATGGAATTCGCTGTTCATACATTGATTGATTGTTGCTATGGAAAACTTATGTTGTCGCAGAAATTTGTTGTTAAAGAAGCATGTATGAAATTAGTAAACAGATCTATTGAGCAAAACCTGTATGCCAATTTTGTATCGTAATCATTTCAATGCATAAAAGTTTACGCAGAGCATTGGTGGGACATTGCACTTACAGCAAGTGGGTATTTACACATGTATGAATAAATTAGTTTAATTGTTCTTATCAAAAGCCTATTAACATGCATTGAAACTGGAAACACAAAACCCCTGTGGTGGCTTGAGGAGGCACTGCCCCCTCGACCCCTTGCCATTGTGAAGTCCAGGAAATTTTATTACTCTCTGTGGCATCTCTGATTTTAATTCAATTTGAAAATTGTGTAATCCTGGTAACCTTGAATACACTCCGGGCCATAACATGAAAATAGTGACTGGTATTCCCCCCCCCCCCCCTCCCACCAACAAACAAAAAAGGTCAGGGGCCTTAATATAATGGTATCAAAAATATGACACAGATCAAACTACTCTGTTCTAAAAAATTAAAAAAACTGGAAATACAAAGTGCTTGACAAAATATGAACTAATTTACAGAATTCTTCTGCACAAAATACAAAAAAGTCCCTAATAAATGAGTGTAGTAAGACAGTACACATGTCTATTTCATTCAATATAAAATTGGTTGTGAAAGATGGATTAAAATCATTATTCAGATTTCAAATAAAAACAGAAAGTAGTTTGAAATGATAGCAAATTATTGACGTTGAGAAATCAATCAGACGAATTTTGTAAATCACAATAATTTATGAATTCATCCACTCTTAAGTCTACTCTAAAAGAATACCCCCAAATTATTCGCTTTGATTTGGTTTCAATGTTAGGAGTGACAATGAACTGTGCAATATGACACCATAGGGCCAACTATTTGTTATTGACACTAATTTGACAAGACATTAAATTTACTTCTTGATTTCTGTACCCATCAAACAAATATGGATCTTGGCAGGATACAAAATGACATTTACCCAATGCCCTTATGACTACCACTTGGTAAGAATACTCCAAGGAGAGGAGATGGTGCACACAATGTGTATCATTAATTGTCACACACCATAGATTGAGAGAATATAATTTACTGATAAACAAAGCCATATCATCATTATTACATACCCGATGCTCAATAAATATTGGGGAACCTCATCATATAGAACACTTTTCTAACAAACTTCCATTATGACAAGATAATAAGCTGGTCACACATCTTGTCTTTTGTATTGAGCTCTGGTATAATGAGATTTCAACATAAGATAATTTCATTGGTCTTATGCATTTGGATATAACGACGTTCCACAACATTGTGTTTTCATAGGTCTGTGCAACAAGGTTTTCTTTGCAGTTCTGGTTTTGCTTGAGGACATAAATGAGCAACAGATTTACACGTTTAAAAATGTCAAAATAGCATGCACTTTTAAAAAACGGACAATTAAAAAATATCCAATAAAGATAAACATTACTGATTCATTCACATAAAGCCGTGGAAACTGTGGTGGTATTTTTTTTCAACATGTATATGAATGGCGATTGGCGTTTGGAAAGAAGTATCTGCGTATAACACAGGCCTGTAAGTGGAGTCTCTTATCTATGTTACTTCAATTTGTCACATCATACTTCTTCTTCATGGGGGGGGGGGGGGGGGGTAGTTAATCACGTCACATAGGAATGAGCAGGGCTTGTCACTTAGGCGCCCGGGACACATGGGCGAATTTAAGTCCGGACCCAAAAAACTTATTTTACAAAGGGCTTGTAAATACAGAATCTAAACAATTCAACCCCCCAAAAGAGGTAGCATGGAGCCCACGGAAGGTGGCTTCATAGGATTATAGAGGGAAGATTTATAGAATGTGAAGCTAGTAGTCCTTTCTTCTCTTGCTACTGCTGCTACTTCCCCTCTCATAATCATCTCTGTTCCTCTCATCTGCCTGCCTCTTATCTGCTTTCTTCACAGTCTTAAAGAAGTTATCCAGACCAAACACATCTTCTTCCTCTTCTCTCTCAAACTGGACGGGACCATCACGACGTCTAGAGCTGTCTGCTCCAGCAAACCCTTTGTCAGGAACAAACCTATAGGGATAAAACAGATGAAAAGTAAGGAACAGAAACCAACCTCTCAGGGAAACCACACTCTCTTCAATTTTATTGAATGAGCCATCATTTTTTATTCACATTGGCTATCTTTAATAATTCAAATAACGGATTTCACACTAGAAAAAGATTACATGAAAAATAAAGTGTCAACGTATAGTTTCTGATAACATTAACCCGGGTATGAGAGTAAAATCTTATACACTGTCCTTCAATTGTAGAGGTGTCATGGTCTAGTGGCTACGTCACTGGACTGTGGACCACGTTTTGAGTCCTGCAGTAGCGCTAATGTTGCAGCACTGATAAAGATACATTTTACTTTAGAGGAGCTATTTGGATTTGCTACAGGACAAGTAAGATTTTGTCGATGGTTTTAATGCATTCAATTTTTTTTTCACAGCTCTTTGTCAGTTTTCTAGAACAAACTCTCTCACCACTCCCAAGATTTTTTTCCACTTGCTATTATTACTTACTTTTTATTCTTGATTAGATTATCCAGGTCATCACCATAGACATCCTTGTCAGCATTCCTGCTGGGTCGGTAGAGGTTGCTAGCAACATTCTGATCTTTTCTCCAGGGTTCACTGTATACATTATAGCTCTCATCCTCTCCTCCTCCAAAGCCACTGTTCAATCCCTGGCAAATTGATAGAGGCAAAATAACAGCATTGTTACATCAATGTCAATCCATAAACAAACACAAAACAGACAAGGATTGTTACTCAAGAATAAGGTCCAGTTCTGGGTGAAGGTGAAACATTATTTGTGAGCTTATGACAGTTTGGAAGAATACTATTATAGAAGCTTCCACTAAAAATTGCTCTGCAATTAATTATAATAATAATAATAATGGTGGCTTCTTATAGCGCACATGTCTGTCATGTGGCGCTCCTGGCACTGCCCTGATTATTACCCTGGCTTTAGTCGAAATATCTTAAAATGGATCACACATTTTGTACTGTACACCCATACACATTTCTGTGTGCAGTGCAGTGCCTGTGATTTTTAGCAAGATTGAGTCAACTTCTTAACCAATTGATGATTCCAAAACATCAGTGTACACAAATTCTTAATAACTACATAATCAACCATTCTCAACCTTTCAAAACGCCATTGCATGAAGAGAACTCAATTATCTTTAAGTGTAACCTTATACTTACACACAATAAATAACTGAGAACTGTAAACGGTTTGGGGATTTGAATTCCATTTAATCTGGAAAATCTGTATATAACAAAGTCAAGACCATACAAATGTGCTCCTTGTTTCACGCTTCTTTCTCTGTAAAAGCTCTGTAAAGGATCTAAAGAGTATACCCAACAATATATAACAAAAGCCTAATTGTCATGACAACTGTTCTTACCTTTGACTGATTGAATAACCTTTGATCAAACTGTGCATCATCTGATCTGCCTGCTCCAGCGTTAGGTAGACCAAGGGCTATCTTCTCACTTACATCACGTTCTCTCTGTTTCTCTAGGCGTGATCTCTTATCAGGAGCTGCACGGGCAAAGTTCCTCTCCCTCTGTCTATCACGATGACGCTCGTCTCTTATCTTGTCTCGCTCTCTCACATCGTCATCATTGTCTGGAAGTAAAACATGGATAAAGACATCATCATAATCATCAACGGCATCATCACCATCATCATCTGGAAATAAAATCTTGAAAGAACATTACAAAGTAGATGGAATTTCGACTGCGCGCAGTCGAAAATGATGCCTCCATCATATAGCAATTTTACAGACCAAAACAGAAGCAATTTTTCAAGGTTAAGTTCGATTGTAATCCGTTGACAGGTTCTCAGAATATTGTGATTACAAGCTATTTCTGATATACATGTATGACCCTTTGATCTTTGACCTCATGACCCCAACATCTACTCAGTTCATTGGCTCTGCAATAAACATACATATCTTGAGTTTGATGGTAATCCATCCCTCGGTTCTAATGATAATGTGATCATAAGCTATTTTTGCATACATAATGAGCCCCATGACCTTTGAACTTGACCTCATGACCCCAAAATCTATTCAGTTCATTGCCTCAGCAAGACACATACATGTCCTGAGTTTCATGGTAATCTGTCTAACTGTTCTAATGATAATGTGATCACAAGCTATTTTTGCATACATAATGAGCCCTGTGACCTTTGACCTATGAACTATTGACCCCAAATTCTGATCAATTAATTGGCTCTGCAAGATACATACATGACCTAAGTAGGGCAGGAATCCATCAATCAGTTCTTGAGATAACGCGATCACAGGCTATTTTTGCTTTCATGATGAGCTCCGAGACCTATGACCTTTTATCCCCAAAATCTAATCAATTAATTGGCTCTGCAAGATACATACATGACCTAAGTAGGGCAGGAATCCATCAATCAGTTCTTGAGATAACGCGATCACAAGCTATTTTTGCCTACATAATGAGCCGTGACCTTTGACCTTTTATTCCCAAAATCTAATCAATTCATTGGCTCTGCAAGATACACACATGACCTAAGTAGGGCAGGAATCCATCAATCAATTCTTGAGATAACACGATCACAAGCTATTTTTGCCTACATAATGAGCCATGTGACCTTTGACCTCGTGACCCCAAAATCTAATCAATTCATTGGCTCTGCAAGTTAAATACATGACCAAAGTTTGGCAGGAATCGATCTGTCGGTTCTTGAGATAACGCGATCACAAGAACGGGACGTACGTATGGACGGACAACCCGAAAACATAATGCCTTCGGATACTTCGTAACGGAGGCATAAAAATCATCATCAGTATAAACTGATAAAACACTAAAATCAAAATCATTGACAAGGCTTTCATATGGTCACATTACATTTCCAGTGAGAGACAAAGAGAGAAGTTCCTTTACAAAATGTGTTATACAGCACAAAACATAGTAAAAATGAGTTGATTAGTTGATTATATGAGTGAAATGAACCATACCCATAGCTGATTTGATGCCTGCTCTGTCTTCACGTGCCTTAGCAGCAATAGCCCTTAGTTGTTCTTCATGTTTCTCTTTCTCTCTCTGTGCCACCTTACGCTCCATACCAGCACGCATCTCTACAGCTTCACGGGCCTACAATACAAACAATCATATACAATTCAGCTTTCTCAGACTCAAACACTTCAAACAAATCTTAATTTGTATTGAAAGTATCCCCTCGTCTAAAAATTTGAAGTATATTGATTCAAGTTGAAAAGCTTTATTGTATTACTTTAAAAATAAAAAATAATAGGAATAATTTAGAAAAAGAAACAGAATTAAATAGCTTGATTTTAATGTGTCCAACTTACAGAACTTCTCTGAGATCTTAGATAATAATGTATAGTAATTTAGGTTTGTATCTATGTTAACTAATTTTTGTTCATGTACACATAGCTTCATGTCAACGTGATGATCTGTAAGTGAATAGAAATGTTTAAGTAATGTATAACACAAACTTTCACAGAATGAAACCTAAGCAAATTTGGTAAACCAGCCACAGCAAGAAGCTTTTGCAAATAAAAACATTCTGAGTAAAGTCAGCTGAGACACAATCAATCTTGTGGCATGAAACTTTAAAGTCTGAACCACACAAGAAATTCATGAATGTTAAACGGAAGCGCAAGATGCTAGTTTTACAACAGTAAAATATGAAAACATTATATAGCTACCATATATCATTATATATCATAAGCTGATTGTTAATATCCAGTATGACAAAGGAAGATATCTATTGTGACAAAAAACATTATAATACTGATTGAACTGATAATACTGTCATCGAGTCCATTTATGGATAACCACAATGGATATATTATAAACAGGTTGTACCACACATACTGCTGTGACAATAACTCTGCATCAATTTCCTACACTAATTGAATTCTCGACCCTAATCCTGGACACAACACTATACCTAAGCCTAGCCCTAATCCTAAATCTAACCTCAAACCAAATTGCAACCGTAGCCACAACCATATACCTTTAAGAAATAAAGCCTGGAGCATTTCTTGCCAAAGCAAACATCGGATCCCCCATATATATAGTATTCAAAAGGCAATACACAGTGATAAATACTTTACCTTCCTGTCGGCAATGTAGAGAGCTTCAGCCAGCTTGGCAAAGTTCTCATTGATTTGTGGGTTCTGTAGTCCTCTGCCATCGGCTGCAAGACGCTTGTCTAGTGGTATAGTGTAACCCTAGCAAAAACAAGAAATGCTTCATTACAAACTAGTTAATATGCTACATGCTCGTTGACAGATAAAGTTGGAACATCTAAAGAATATCCAATCACAGCCCCAATGCAAACCTCAGGGTCAGCTTTAAAGCCATCATTTAACAATGTTAAATCTGAGATGCATGGCCCTACATGTACATGTTATCAGTGTCTGTGATACGTTGTAATACTGAGTCACTTTAACAGTAGCCCTATTCCTAACCCTCACCATAATATCATAAAACAGGTTCTAGTTGTAGCCAATCTAAGCAGTCAATCATGCCTTCGGAGCATGTGTGTTTCTGATGCGTACAACATTGGCCTTTTTCTGAAGCTCCTGTGCTAAGTATGAGAACCCTGACAAAGGGTCCAGCATCTTATACTTTGCATGTCAAAACATTCACTGTATTACAGGTCATGTTAGTGAACATAGTATCGAATCAAACAAAAGACGTGATAAAGTTCTTAGATCTTGACATGTCAGCACTTGTACAGACAAGTAAATCATAGTATAAACACAGTGACAACTTGGTACATTTGACACAATTTTTCTATTTCTTAATTTATATGGCCTGTTTTTATATAACAAAATTGAACCCAACACAAGGACTAATGGCATATTAAAAAGGAATAACTTCGACTTCCTTTAAGTTTCTTTGTTAAACTCAATTTAGATAGATCTCAAACCAATACACTTTGCAGCCCTCTTTTTCCAGTTACAATTTCATTAGAAGCACTTGGTGACAAGATATGATAATTTGTTCATCTTTACTGGTTCCTCCATGCTATAAAAAAATCACAACCTATTCTCTTACACAATGCTCCCTTTACCTTTTGATTTTTCCAATTTGAGATACAGGGTGGGATCTTCCATTCCTGCTGTTCTTTGACTGTAACCTGTATAGGAAAATAAAAGGTGAAGGAAAAGAAATAACATTACAAGCATTTCTGAACACATTGATTTCATTTTAAGTCCACGACCTAGTGCCTAAGAAAACCGTTCAAGAACTCTTCCCTACTCAACATCACTACAAAAAGAGCATACGATTGACATATAACACAATGTCAAAATGAATTTCATAAAATAATTTTTTTTAGAAAAGAGGTTCATATATTTATTGTCAACTATTTCCATTCAATACTACAAATGAATATGCTCTACACCAATTTATTTACAAATTTAAAACTATCATTAAAAAGAACTACATTTTGTGGAGGGGATAATTTAGGCACATTTTGAGGAGAGAGAGGTGATAAGATACCTTTCTTGTTGGTGAATGCATGACAGGAGCCGGTGGTGAAGGAGGACCTCGCGGTATCTTCTTGTTTGTTCTGTGCAGAAATAATAACAAATCATTTAAATATCAACAACTTTTCTCAACAGCATTTACAACACATATAAATACACATGTACATATTTTCTTTTTCTATGCAAACTCCATTAATAATCAGATTAATGTAAGTTACTTTTATATAGGATTGAAGAAATAAAGGAGGGAAAAAACAAAAATAAATTGCCTGCTGAAGATATGAGTTCCTATTCTCCATTTAGAATCATTCATTAAAGGGATAGTTGAGTTCTGTTGCAGAGGGCGCTACACAAAATAATTTTGTTGTGAGATAATGAAAAACTGAGTGTCAAATTTGAAAGAACATCATATTTAAATGACAAAATCATCTTTGTTTGATCAAAATCAGTTCAGAGACGGCTGAAATATAACGATTTCTAATACTTGTGTACCACCACAAATATTAGATATTTTGAAAAATTCGAAAAAACCGCTGAAAAAAAAAAATAACGCCTTTTACGTCGTATTTCAGCCAATGCCGATGTTGGCTTTTTTGTTGGCATTTTCGTGTTGCTTATATTACCCACAATTAGCCAGCTCATGAATTGATATTTTTAATTAAACAATTAATTAACGGTCACAGTGTTTTTTTAAAAGTGGAGCTGAATTGGTATGATCGTATTGGCTAAATTTCACACATTTTGGGGTCTTAAATTACCTTCATAGCAATTTTAAGTTTTAAAAGGGCAGTATAAATGTCATAGATAAGAATAAGAGCAATAACCACACACTTTGAAGGCATTTGCGGTCTGAAAACAGAACTCAACTATCCCTTTAATAGCTAAAAAAGACAATGGAGAATGTGTTTTCAACATCTTCTGTCCCATTACTCTAAATAATATGTCATTAATATAAACTATTGCTTGGAGTCAAAGCGGTATATGTACAAGAAACCTTTCAGTTTGGGTCCAGTCCCAGGCCAGTCCTGTTCAGAAGTTGAAATTTGTATTTTTAAAATTTTTTGGTGTTGTTGGTTGAGGCGGTTCAAGACTTATTCAGATATGCCGCGATAAACCACCGCAAAAAGTAGATAAATGGCAACCGTGCAACATAGGTAGATGTATTCACTGTACTCAAGAGACAGAAATGTGAAGCATATATTACACTTACGCCATCATAATATAAAATACTGGGGTTTATTATACAAATATACGATGCTGTGAGAAAGAATAGTGGAAATTATTTATCTGAGGAGGGACTGGCAAAGTACTATTGCAGTCCCTCCGAAGATATATAATTTCCACCATTCTTACGAACTAAATGCTTCATATATTTGTTTTAATGATTGGGTGGCATATGGTTTTTAACTTTATTTTTATGTCAACCACATTTGGGCCGGGTATTGGAGAAGTTTACAATCAGTTTGAATTTGTCAATTTAACCTGCACACAATTATATTAACGCGCATTTAATGAGACGCGCTAATTGCGCATTATTTTTGACTGAACATGATGTGATGTCACAATGCTTTTCTACCTGAAAATCTCATAGAGCATGCGCAGTTTCGCCCATGAAAAAATAGTGGAAAATATTTGGAGCTCTGGCAGAGATTTGTGTCAAATAGTGAAATTATATTTTATCACATGACCACCAATTGACCAATCATGTATTTAGAAAACACATGAATATTCATAGAAGGGATATAATGCATCATATCTGAAGTAGACTCTAGGTTGTACTACTTACTTGAATCTGGGTGGTTCCATAGGATCTTTCTGTGCCTCTACCATCCTAATCACTCTCTGCTTAGCTCCAGAGTTGAAGGCAAGACCTTGTTGTGATGGTGTGTATCTATACAAATAGCAATAATTGGAGTAGAAAATACATTTACATTGAACAAATAATTTTTCATAAACCTTGTAAATTTGATGTTTTTGTTGTTTTTCGTAACTCAAGAATGAAAGGTGGCCTGTGTTGAATTATTTTTGATGTAAGCTTTAATTTGTTATATTCTCAAGCAACGAAAAAGCGAGAAAAATCAATCTTTCACATAGGGTACTTTAAAAAAATAAAAACTTGGTAAGGGTAGGAATAATTCAGTTGTTAACTGAAATATATTGTTGAATATAAAGAATAATCACAGTACAAACACAAATATAAACGCAAATATATTTGATTCTGGAAAAGCTAGATGATTTTGGTGATCTGACAGCAAGGGGAGAGATGGTTAGGGGCATGTAAAATGTGTCCTTTTGGGAGCTGTGATGAAATATACTTGACAGGGGCTCCAAGGGCCCACCTCCCCCTCACAAGTGATAAGGTAGGGATTAAAATCTATATCATTGCGATCCATAGAACAATGCCATATCCTCTAAGACCCCAACAACTCTACAGATGTATAGAGGGAATGACATGTATCAATAGGCACTTATTGTGCAGATGCTAACCTACCTGATATATTGTGCAGGTGCGGTTTTCTCAGCATGGCGAACAGGAAGAGCTGCAGATATTTTGGACTGGACGATCTTCTCCAATGCTGATCTAGTCTTCTCAGCAGTCTGAAATAAAAACAAGGTCATTTACATCATAGATAGATGTATGTCAATAAACATGGCGTAGGCACAATCATTTGCTAGTAACAAGAATCATTTTGCCACCTAACTAATTCTGCAAGAAAGAGATGTTACCATGAAACTTTTCTATAAAAAGTGACATAACCAAATTATGTCAAGCATTGGTACAACAATGCCAGAAACCTAACATATCAATAAAGACACTCTTTCCTTGATTTTGATTAATCTATAATCCAATAATGTTTGACTTGGAAGAAAATGGCCATACCATGCTTAATGTTTCACTTATTGTAAAAAGACAAAACAAGCAAACACATCTTACAGACTTGTTGTCACATGATAGGATAAACTGATTAAAACAACCGATGTATAAGGCAAAATAAAACCCTTTTCCATGTGTGCCAATGGAAAACAGTGTAAGAAGAGACTGCAATTTACAAAGGCTCATATACACACTGTAATCTGTGTGTTATAGAAAGAGCAATGTGAAATACACTCCATTTATATCACCCAGTTTTGCCACTTAGTTTTTAATGTTTTTTTTTAAAGGCAGTTTAGTGTAATATGTGTAGACTAGAATTAACATAAGTATAGTCATATCATGTTTGATAAAATTGTTTGACTTACTTCTTCAATGGACTCTTCATCTGGTTTCTGAAGATCTGGATCATCATCATCTCCCATTACTCTAGGAAGTAGGTCTTGAGGCCTTGAGTGTACAACCTGAAAGAATCATTAGAAAGAATATTATCATTACCGGTATACACTATGAATACGACTGACAAAGAAAGCGGACAAAATATACAGTTCCTCAGGTAGACAAAGGAACATCCCTTCACTGCTATTATGTAAAAATTTGTAGAACAGGTGTCACATGCATATTCACCTTTTTACATAATAGCAGTGAAAGGATGTTCCTTTGTCTACCTGAGGAACTGTATATTTTTTCCGCTTTCTTTGTCTGTCATGTTCATAGTGATATAACATCAAATCACTTTAATCTATGACATCAACATATGATGGATATATCACAATCTGAGGCTAATTTAAGATAATGGCGGCCATCTTGGACGCCATTTTAAAAATAGCCATCAACATCATACCTAAAAAAAAAAATAGTTGGCATCAGTTATTATTAGTATTACTGACCTGATAAATACTATTACGAGAATCCCATGGCGGACAGCAGTCTTGTCGTTTGAAAATATAATTCCAAATCAAATCTGATGGGTTTAACATGTTCAACTAAAATTAAGGATTGGTATGTATGAATAGCAGGATTGGTTTTCATGATAGAACTTATTATGTTCTCTCAGGAGCACCGTTTCCATTGCTCTTAATCACGATAGGAAATCTTAGTTAAAATTTAGATTTGTATACACTATACATACCTTGTCCTTGCCATGTCCAATCCTAGCAAGGGCATCATATCGAACCTTGCCTTCTGCATCCACTGTCTTAGCTACAGCATTAGATTGATTGGTCTTTGTACGACCCATGTCCAGTGGATACTGGGCAATATGGATCTCTGGATATGCTCCTCCATCTCCATAATCCTATACATCCAGCAAAAAATGTAACAAATATCGTGAATCCAATGCAAACTGTAGAATACTCCATCAACTTAGTCTTGTCCCTACCCCCGACCTTAGGGGCCTATTCATAGAATATGAAAGGGTCCCCTCACAAATTTGAGAACCAAACTCCATGACCCATTTTCTTCTGGGTTACGGCATCCAGAAGGGTACAAATACAACACCTATTGTCAGTTCAAACTGGAAAGCTGTCAAGGCCAGCCACGCAAAGCTCACACCCATTATCAATTTCTGTGACTTTCCATGACTTATGGAGCTTTTTTCAGTTTCCGGGACTTTCAAAAAGAATGTATTTTTTCATGACTTTCCAGGTTTTTCCATGACCGTGGGAACCCTGATGTAGAGAAATACATGTTCTTGTAACGGGTCAATTTGTCAGCTGCTCCCAAGAAGGCCTTTACACTGACAGTACATAGCTCTTATTGCCTTCTTGTGGGCAGGTGATGACAAGTGATTCCCACACGCATACAATCACTATGTGAGGGAACTATTTTGGTGCTCCAAGAGTTTCATTCAAGAATGAGGGTGACTTCTGGTGACCTAACTATCTCTACTTTACTAGCGTTGCTATGGCAAACTGCCGACCATAATCCTAGCCTTTAGCCTGACATGATCCTAACCAAAATACATTTGACTGATGCACAATGGAATATTCTGCAGATAGGCCAAAGAAAGAGAAATTCATGATCACCTTGTGTATCTCTTTAAAAAATAACCTCTCGCTACTTTACACTTGAGGTATGATATTCTGGGCTGGTATTCTGAGCAGACTTTATCTCTAAAATATTTGATTTTATCTGTATTAAAGAAAAAAGAATTCTGAGAATACTCTATATTTCAGATTTTATCTTTCATTCTAACTTAATCTCTTACTTCTCACGTGCCCATTCCAGTTATACACATGATATACGAGTGACTTAAGCACTAACAGCCATCTCATTTCTATTATAGATAATATTAAAATTGAAATAGGGTGGGGGCTAATTTATCGCTTAGATGCACGTTAAGTGCGACATGTATTTTAGAGTATGCTGCTAGTTGTGTAATCAAAATTAAACAAAGAAATAATGAATACAAACTACATTTCTCAAGCAACAATTTCTTAAGGTTATCAAGTTGTATTTCACGATTTTTGCAGACGAATGGTCACACTTGAAATGATCCTTGTCATGGAGTTCAAAAGCCTCTAAAAACACTTCAGTAATTTTTCAAGGAAAAAAAAGTACAAAAATTATGCATTTGCGCTATCTTGCACAATAGATTGGCCAGCAAAATGAGATTCTATTGGCTGAACATGAAGGGAGTGAAACCAATAACATTTCTTATTGGCTATTGCATCACAATTTTCTTAGTGGCTATTGCATCACAAATGGTATTATTAGATAAAATCTTGCTAAATTGATTCTCAGAATACAGATTCAAATATTAAGTATTCCCTCGTTACACATGACTTACACCCAGTGGCAGGCTAAACTGAATTAGTAGAACATTGTGTTCAAAATAAATTGACTGCCCCACACTCTTCAGTGAAGTGACACAAATGTGGAATTTGAAATACAGTACATACAACGATAGATATCACCATAGCGTCAAATTCAAATATAATTGCAATATTCTCTGTAATTTTACCAAAGCATATTCATCACTGGTTTATCATGTACTTATGTACATTATGCCTGACTAGTAGAATGACTGAATAAATAATGGCATCCTCCCTTCAGATTGGGGTTCGGGGGGGGGGGGGGGGGGGGGGTAATACTTACAGCCAAAGACCTAGGGACCCATCCCTTGCGATGACCATATGGTGGAGCTGCATTCCTTGATACTGAAACCACACGCAACTGACAGAGAAAGAAAAAGAAAGACAAAATGAGGAGGTGAGTTGGCTCAGTCGGTAAAGCATCTGCCCGTCTATCAAAGGAGCTTTAAGAGCAGGGGGGTGTTTCATAAAGAGTTTGTAAAGTTACGCATGACTTTACGAATGACTTGTATATGAAATGCCAGATAGGATGCCCAAATGTTTTTCTGATATTTCCAATAACCTCAATTAAATTATGGCAAAAAAAATACTTTGCATTAAAAATATTTGTTATAATAAGAATGTTAATCTACATCTGCACAGTTCAACTTAATAAATAAAAATCAATAATAATTAAGCATCCCATTTGGCTTTTCATATACTAGTCGTTCGTAAAGTCATGCGTAACTTTACGAACAGCTTTATGAAACACCCCCCACTGGAGTCGTATCTAGCTCATTTTCTTTGTACCATCTTTGATGCCGCCAGGAGAAAATAGACATGTCAGGCATGTGCTTAACTGGATCTTCCTTGCAGATACATAGACAAAAGATTCCTGCCTAGCTGCAAACTAACGAGCCACTTTCTCAGGAAAATATGCTAATTACTTTTCGCTACCACTCGTCTGATAATACGAGCCATACACAGTGTTTACCTTTATAGGAGGCAAGCAAAAGGAAATGGAGCAAAATTTCCTGAAACACTAATCAAACTTACTCGACTGGGCATGTGTGGGCATTAATCTGACATACACATGTATAACATCATAAAGAAATTCACTTTTTATTTTTGTGTGCTGGAAGTAATCAGAAAAGTGTCAAATTGCAGGCTTTAGGACTGTAAATTTGTTAAATTTTCCCCAAATTTAAACTGCTATTTTACAATGTAAGCAAATAAATTGAAACAATTAGGCTTCCGTATTCATATTTTATCATCTGTTCGATTTTTCCCTTGTCAGTTCACATAACAGATGAAATATTAAAGGAAATGCAAAGTTCTTAAAACTCCTTGGTCTAATCAAATATCATGGGTTTCCAACAGAGGCAGATGACACACGCCTTCATTGTGTTTTCATGCCATTAACAAGCTCTTAACCTTCTCTGATTTTTAAACATGTTTTTATATGCTCTTTCAGATTTTTACTAATTTTCAAATTGATTTTTCTCTTTGTTTGAAAGCAAGTTATTCTTGGACAGAACTTGCACATTTAAGGACACATCTGTTCAAGAGTATGAGGCTAAATACCACTTCCATCTCGAAGAGCTCTGATAAAATACGTAAAATCAATAATTTATACAAGAGTTTCTTTCCTGACCTCTTTTGCTCTTAGGTCCACCTCATCTTCTTGTATCCATTGCTTGGGTCTGGGCAGGATACTGTGGATAGAATAACATACATTTCACAGTCAGTTGCAAGTATCTAACATGACTCTACATAAATATCATAAAGGATAATTACCCTTTATATCATTATCATACAACATAAGTCTTACAAGATTCTTAACTACCGGTACTACATGTAAACCTCTTACCAATAACCAATTTAAATCAACCTGTCCGGACACACAACAAGATCTGGGTTAGACCAAAAGCTTCATTCTTTTTGATGACAGCTGTTCCACTGAGACTATGTCTGACTCCACTAACCACATCTATACCGAGACTGAAGTGCGTTGTACGGCATAGTTCGGGGGAGATCAGGCAATACAATTAGTGTATATTGCTGATCTCATCGCAGGTAATTTCTTAATATTTCGAAGTTTTTACATTCATTGATCTTCACGGTTATTTCCATATATGAAAATTATGTCTATTCCCTTTTACAATGCATTTTTCTAAATCAAACCCCAAGGTCTACCCACGGAGTTTGCTGAATTTAGCTATTAATGTATAAAATTGGCAATGCAAAAAATAGTTTTTGAAGTAAACACTGTATGTGCAAATCAGCCTTTCAGGCAGAACCAACAACGCAAACTCTCGACTCAGACTAGAGGTTAGCATATTTGTAATGTAAATGACATGTTACCTCATTATGTCAGGAACACGTGGAAGGTAAGCAAAATGGCTATCACTCCGGTATCAATTTTTCACATTTTTATTAAATCTCGACCGATTTCACAGTGCTTTGTATGAGAAGAAAGAAGAGTTCGATAGCGAACTCCGAAAGCCAGTTTGCAAGGTCCAGGTCTGTCGGTTGCAGGAAGGGGTGATTACAAAAACGCATTTTAGGTTTTGTTTGTTTGTACATCAATCTTCACACAGTGGTATGGACTAAGGGTGCAAATTTAGGCTAGGCGATATCAATATCATATATTTCATATAATCACCTAGACCGAAAGCTTCAGTCTCTGATATCAACGGTTGTTCTGCTGAGACGTCTGGCTCTACTGACGGCCTCTATACATACATATGTATGGGGAAGGTTGACAAATGTCAGGTTTATTAAAGAATTACCCATACCGGACTAGCCTTAAGGGCTATATACATTTGCAAGTGATAATGTAAAATATGATATTGATATCACTTAGCTTTAACTGGCGCCCATACCCCTGACAAAATCTAAAATCTGTCTGAAATCACCTCTTTCCACACTAGAGGAATATCGCGGTGTCTTCAGAGATCGCTAGTGGATTCTTTCTTCTCATAATTAAAAGCACTTTGAAATTGGTCAAGTAATAAAGATAAAATATGAGATTTAGCTACCAGAGTCGTAGCGATTTGCTTACCTTCCGCGTGTTCCTGATGGTAATTATAAAAAGTGCCTTTTACATGACAAAAACGTTGACCTCTTTATAAGAGTTTGCGATGTTAGTTCCGGCTAAAAAATTTAAAGTTTGAACAATTCTCATTTTTGTTTTATTTAAGGTACAAACTGGAAATTTATTCTGAAATGTTTGTTGATTTTTATACCTGTGTGCAATTTCATGTGTGCGTCAGTTATGTGTGAAGTGCGTCACCTGTTTGAATTTTAATGTCAAAATCTCCATGGTAGGCACATTCATGGGGCACTAGAGGGCGCTTCCACACATACAGAAATCTGAATTACCTTCTTGTGGTGAGTCGGCACTAATCAGCCCACAGCTTGGATATGGCAGGGTGGAAGGATATATCTTTTTTTTTATAATGTTATCCGGTCTTACTTACCCCTAACCATCCTATGTTTAATGTATGTAAAAATAACATGCAAGTACGAGAAGAGAAACATCGGGCCCATTACTGATGCAACTTGTTAAATATTAACCTAGAAATGACCACCGAACGGAAATATTTGACACTTTTTTCCGACAAATCTACCAAGAGTCTGGGGTATAAAACAAGGGAAACGCTCTCGGCGGTCTCGCCTGCATAACGCAATTCAATATGATAAACCAGAATGTCAATGTGGAAGGGACATAATTTCATTTCATTTGCATAAAGTACCATAAATAATCAATGGAGCAAAATCTCACAATTCTGTGTAGAAGTTTATTGTTCCAAATTTAGCTCTACCAGATAAGGCAAAATCAGTCAAGAAATGAGGGAAAAGAAGCAATTTTTGTTATTTTTGGAATAAATTTGCATAAATTACCATAATTAATTAATGGAGAACAATTTCAAAATTCTGTGTAGAAGTTTAGGGTACCAAAGTTAGCTCTACGATATAAAGCAAACCAAATCAAAATCGGTCGAGAAATGAAGGAGAAGAAGCCTTTTTTGTGATTTCGAATAAATTTGCATAAATTAGCATAGATAATGAATTTCACGATTCTGTGTAGAAATTTTAAATCCCCTCCTAGCCCTATCATATGAAACAATCAGAATCAAAATCGGTTGAAAAATAACGAAGAAGAAGCATTTTGAAAATCTTAATGTTGATGCCACAACAAAGTCTAAATTTGTTGACCTTAAATGGCCTTTGACCTTAACTTAGTGACCTGAAATTCTACTCACATGATTGGGGAGACTTGATAACCCTATAGTCCAAATTTCATTGACTAAGAACTTATACTTTCAAAATTATATCAAAAATTCAAAAACTTAACCTTAGGTTAAGTTTTCGATGATGATGCTACAACATAGTCCAAGTCTGCTGACCTGAAATGACCTTTGACCTTGACTTTGTGATCTGAAATTCTACTCACATGATTGGGGATACTTGATTACCCTATAGTCAAAGTTTCATTGACTAAGAAATTATACTTTAAAAATTATACTAAAAATTCAAAAACTTAACCTTAGGTTAAGTTTTTGATGTTGACGCCGTCGCCGTCGCCGTCGCCGTCGCCGCCGCCGTCACCGGAAAAGCGGCGCCTATGTCTCGCTTTTTGCTACGCAGGCGAGACAAAAATGACAACTACTCAAGGTAATACAAATACGATTTTCAGAAAATTCAGGTGTAATTTTTAAAGATTCTTTCAAGTGTTTTTCTTCGATCGCAGCGCCAATTTTCTTCACTGCTCGAACATCACCCTTTAAATTTTTTTTTTGCACCGAATTTGATACAGGGTTCGCGAGTGTTCCCTGTTCCTTGCGTGTTGAAAGTTAGGTCATGCATAGATTGCATTAACTCGGGCATGAACAAATGGCTTGAAGGATTGAGAAAAACGAAATGTTAAATGGAGATATAAACAAGCAATTGTATAGTTATTAGAGATCTACCGTAGTGCAGTGCTAGAGGTCAATACGCATTAGCATTGACTCTATGCTTTGCTGGAGTGCCCGGTGCGAGTTGTCTGGGATACCGTCTGTGTATGGGGAATGTCAACAAATGTCAGTTTTATTAAAGAAATGACCCATATCAGACGGTTATTTCTGTCTACGAACTCCCTTGCACTTCGCAGTAGAATTCTAGCACGATTCACACTCCAGTAAAGCATAGCCAGCATAGAAAAACTGTGATTACGCCATTACGAACGTGTAGATGGCGCACAGTTTTTCCTTCATAATCATTTTTGCCTTCGGCGTAGACTAGAAGGGATGAGATTGACGGCAGCGAGAGTTTAATACGGCTTGCAAGATTTTCAACATGGATGTCGATTTTGACCCATAATTTCCTTAAAAGGGACCATTAAACGGATTATATCAATAAAGTTAGTAAGTGGAACCGATTTATTATAGCCTAGGCCTAATTCAAAATTGGATATACACAAGGTAAAATGACATTTCGGGGGATTTTGGGGGCATAACAATACGGCCGTGGCAAGTTTGTCATGTTTGTGGGAGGGGCCTAGCGGCTAAAATCTAGCCGAATATCTTCAACACAGGCTGGCATAGGCAGTCGTTCAGTCTCTATAACCGGAGGTCTAGTGGAGCCAGACGTAGTCTCAGTGGAACAACCGACGGTATAGAGACTGAAGCTTTCGGTATAGTTACGTACATGTTAATAGGCAGCATTTGAAATACATGAATAGTCAATACACTCATAACACAGAGATGCACACAATCTTGTCGATCTGTCTGGTCAGCAAGTTTGACAGTCACGGTGGACTCACAATTGAATTTGAATTTTTAAATTATTCTTTCTCTAAATAATGGTCTGATGCCTGGTCAATGGAAAGTTGACATTTTTTTAATTTTACTGCTATTTAGGTGTCATTAATCGTCACTAAAGTACTGATTTTTAGTGAAATCAGTCGAGTTTTGTACAGTGGTGTTTAAAATGTTGAGAATCAAGACAATAGCACAGGATAGTATTAAATGCAGCTAGAATCTAGATTCTAGACCTAAGAGTCGGACTAAGCTAAGTAAGTGGCGGTAGGCTATGTGTGTCTGATTCACTGTCCACGCACACAACGCAATGCCAATGGACAATGCACTTGCGTGCAAAGAAAGTGGACGTCCAAGATCAAGCCAGGCAAAAATGTGTTTCCTTATCTTTCTTAGGACAAAAACGAAACAAATCCTGTATCTTATTTACTCACTCTGCAAGCGACACCATCGTAAATTTGTTGATAATCTCGACTGATTGCAGAAACAGATGAGTTTGGTTCTTAAATATTCTCTCCACACACTGCACTGGCACACTGCGCCATATCATAAACCCCTACGATTTTGAGCTTTCTATGGATGAACGACAGAGGGCTGGGAGGGAGGTGTTATTTTTTTTTCTGCGGCATGGCACAAATTGGGTTAGGTGCGTGTTGAGCCTATGGGAAAGTTTAGGGTTAGGGTTAAATCAAGACCTCTTTTTTTTTTTTAAAAGGCCCAATTTGTGCCGCAAAAGAAAATGACGCGGCCGGGAGACGTGTGCGCATCTCTTCTGAGAGATTATAGACTAGAATCTCATCGAATCTCAACTATGAACTATGAAATGGTAAAAGTTAGAGATGTAAGTTAGAGTGCAAAAAATGTAAAGTAGAGTCGACAAGTAACTTAGAGCAGAGGCGGCGGAGCGTCTTTCAAAATGGCAGCAACAGCATAAAAAGGACACTTAATTTCTGGGGGGGGGGGGGGCGCGGGGGGAGTGCTGCCTACAAAAGGTAATCTCAACTTAGCGATAAATGACAATCTTTATGTATTGTATTTATAATTAATACATTATTCGGGAAAATATTCAAGGTTCTCTCTTTATGTACGTGGTCCAATAAAATGCTTCAGCACCATGATTTGCTGTTGTATGTGGTCTAAATATTCATTTGCTTACAGGTGGGCAAGCAAGCAAACACATTTGAGATCGCATATTAATTGCCTTCGATTAGTTCTAATTATTAGATGCAATAGTCGATTCGGACGGGGTTTTAAGCACTATCACATAATGATGGAATATAAATCGGACCTTCAGTTCATAAGCAAGCAAGTGGAAAATTTTGGGGAATTAATTGCTCTCAGTCGTAACTATCAATTAGCAGTCAATTAGCGGTAGATATTAGGCAGCTATCTAGGCTTTTGTTTCTGGGGAGATGAGATATACATGCTAAAAACTTATTTGGGAAGTTTTTCACATTTGGAAAGGGCATTTAAGCTAAGGGGCACTTATTAGAAAGGAAAAATGGACACTTATCCGAAGGGCTGAGCCCCAAAGCCATGTCCAATTTTTAAACTACATTCAAGAGTCCCTTATTGCCAGGTTGAACGAGTTTTTTTACATTTTCAGTACTACTTTCTTCCTATTATTCACTCTGTACACTCCCATGCAATCCTTTTCCAGTCTGTAAACAACTTTACAACATGAATTCAATGATGGGCAAGGTTTTACTTCTCATATGAAAGCGCCCAAACTTCGCGATAGGCAAACGCCTGGCACCTGGAAGGTATCGGGTTCGACTCACAGCTAGTGCTTTTTTTTTTATAAACCTTTGAAAAATAAAAACTGATGTTAAACCCATTTTTATCTCACTCAAAGAGTGATAAAATAATTATTGTTGGTAATGTTGATGTATGGGAAAGGGTTCCAAATCTCAATATGTCAATGGATTCCTCAAAAAAAATTGAAAAAAGGGCCTATGGTGAGGGGGGAGCAGCTGAGTGTAGGAAAAACTGTAAGGGAGCCCCTTTGGGGGTCTTTTTTTTTTTTTTTTTTTTGACGCGGTCATCAGCGTAGCCAGTGGCCGGTAGCGTTAGCCCCAAAGCCATGTCCAATTTTTAAACTACATTACTTTCTTCCTTTTATTCACTCTGTACACTCCCATGCTATCCTTTTCGAGTCTGTAAACAACTTTACAACATGAATTCAATGATGGGCAAGGTTTTACTTCTCATATGAAAGCGCCCAAACTTCGCGAGGTGATTCAAGCCCAATATGGGCTAACAACTGGCCTGCATACCCAAGCAGAATCATTTTGTGCTCGACAAAGACACATAGCCTTGGGTAAAGAGGTCCAATATTATTAATTTTTTTAGTTATATTTTTTCATTGACAGTATACTATTAAATATCAGGATTATTGGATGCTCTGTTTCAAATACAGTCCAGATTGCCGCGCAATGAATTATATCATGCTTCTTGTCCAAAAACCATATCTAACTGGTTTTTAAAACGGTATCATTTTAATCTATTTCCTCCTCAACAAAGGAGAAAATAACATTTGATACTCTTTCTTTAACAAGCGGCTCTCTGAATTAGTTAGAATACCTCTTTTGCTACATCTACAACAAGAAGTATTAATATGAAAAAAAATACATGGAGATGACCAGTGTGACACATTGGTCTAGTGGATAGGCAAACGCCTGGCATCTGGAAGGTATCGGGTTCGACTGCGAGCTAGTGCTTTTTTTTTTTTTTTTTTTTTATAAATCTTTGAAAAATAAAAACTGATGTTAAACCCATTTTTATCTCACTCAAAGAGTGATAAAATAATTATTGTTGGTAATGTTGATGTATGGGAAAGGGTTCCAAATCTCAATATGTCAATGGATTCCTCAAAAGAAATTGAAAAAAGGGCCTATAGTGAGGGGGGAGCAGCTGAGTGTAGGAAAAACTGTAAGGGAGCCACTTTGGGGGTCTTTTTTTTTGTTTTTTTGACGCGGTCGTCAGCGTAGTCAGTGGCCGGTAGCGTTAGCCCCAAAGCCATGTCCAATTTTTAAACTACATTACTTTCTTCCTTTTATTCACTCTGTACAGTCCCATGCTATCCTTTTCGAGTCTGTAAACAACTTTACAACATGAATTCAATGATGGGCAAGGTTTTACTTCTCATACGAAAGCGCCCAAACTTCGCGAGGTGATTCAAGCCCAATATGGGCTAACAACTGGCCTGCATACCCGAGCAGAATCATTTTGTGCTCGACAAAGACACACATCCTTGGGTAAAGAGGTCCGATATTATTAATTTTTTTAGTTATATTTTTTCATTGACAGTATACTATTAAATATCAGGAATATTGGATGCTCTGTTTCAAATACAGTCCAGATTGCCGCGCAATGAATTATCTCATGCTTCTTGTCCAAAAACCATATCTAACTGGTTTTTAAAACGGTATCATTTTAATTTCCATTTCCTCCTCAACAAAGGAGAAAATAACATTTGATACTCTTTCTTTAACAAGCGGCTCTCTGAATTAGTTAGAATACCTCTTTTGCTACATCTACAACAAGAAGTATTAATATGAAAAAAAATGCATGGAGATTACCAGTGTGACACATTGGTCTAGTGGACAGGCAAACGCCTGGCATCTGGAAGGTATCGGGTTCGACACCCAGCTAGTGCTTTTTTTTTTTTGCTTTTTTTTATTATAAATCTTTGAAAAACAAAAACTGATGTTAAACCCATTTTTATCTCACTCAAAGAGTGATAAAATAGTTATTGTTGGTAATGTTGATGTATGGGAAAGGGTTCCAAATCTCAATATGTCAATGGATTCCTCAAATGAAATTGAAAAAAGGGCCTATGGTGAGGGGGGAGCAGCTGAGTGTAGGAACAACTGTAAGGGAGCCCCTTTGGGGGTCTTTCTTTTTTGACTTTTTTGACGCGGTCGTCAGCTAGCTGGCGGTCGTCAGCGTAGCCAGTGGCCGGTAGCGTTAGCCCCAAAGCCATGTCCAATTTTTAAACTACATTACTTTTTTTCCTTTTATTCACTCTGTACAGTCCCATGCTATCCTTTTCGAGTCTGTAAACAACTTTACAACATGAATTCAATGATGGGCAAGGTTTTACTTCTCATACGAAAGCGCCCAAACTTCGCGAGGTGATTCAAGCCCAATATGGGCTAACAACTGGCCTGCATACCCGAGCAGAATCATTTTGTGCTCGACAAAGACACACATCCTTGGGTAAAGAGGTCCGATATTATTAATTTTTTTAGTTATATTTTTTCATTGACAGTATACTATTAAATATCAGGAATATTGGATGCTCTGTTTCAAATACAGTCCAGATTGCCGCGCAATGAATTATCTCATGCTTCTTGTCCAAAAACCATATCTAACTGGTTTTTAAAACGGTATCATTTTAATTTCCATTTCCTCCTCAACAAAGGAGAAAATAACATTTGATACTCTTTCTTTAACAAGCGGCTCTCTGAATTAGTTAGAATACCTCTTTTGCTACATCTACAACAAGAAGTATTAATATGAAAAAAAATGCATGGAGATTACCAGTGTGACACATTGGTCTAGTGGACAGGCAAACGCCTGGCATCTGGAAGGTATCGGGTTCGACACCCAGCTAGTGCTTTTTTTTTTTTTGCTTTTTTTTATTATAAATCTTTGAAAAACAAAAACTGATGTTAAACCCATTTTTATCTCACTCAAAGAGTGATAAAATAGTTATTGTTGGTAATGTTGATGTATGGGAAAGGGTTCCAAATCTCAATATGTCAATGGATCCCTCAAATGAAATTGAAAAAAGGGCCTATGGTGAGGGGGGAGCAGCTGAGTGTAGGAACAACTGTAAGGGAGCCCCTTTGGGGGTCTTTCTTTTTTTACTTTTTTGACGCGGTCGTCAGCTAGCTGGCGGTCGTCAGCGTAGCCAGTGGCCGGTAGCGTTAGCCCCAAAGCCATGTCCAATTTTTAAACTACATTACTTTCTTCCTTTTATTCACTCTGTACAGTCCCATGCTATCCTTTTCGAGTCTGTAAACAACTTTACAACATGAATTCAATGATGGGCAAGGTTTTACTTCTCATACGAAAGCGCCCAAACTTCGCGAGGTGATTCAAGCCCAATATGGGCTAACAACTGGCCTGCATACCCGAGCAGAATCATTTTGTGCTCGACAAAGACACACATCCTTGGGTAAAGAGGTCCGATATTATTAATTTTTTTAGTTATATTTTTTCATTGACAGTATACTATTAAATATCAGGAATATTGGATGCTCTGTTTCAAATACAGTCCAGATTGCCGCGCAATGAATTATCTCATGCTTCTTGTCCAAAAACCATATCTAACTGGTTTTTAAAACGGTATCATTTTAATTTCCATTTCCTCCTCAACAAAGGAGAAAATAACATTTGATACTCTTTCTTTAACAAGCGGCTCTCTGAATTAGTTAGAATACCTCTTTTGCTACATCTACAACAAGAAGTATTAATATGAAAAAAAATGCATGGAGATTACCAGTGTGACACATTGGTCTAGTGGACAGGCAAACGCCTGGCATCTGGAAGGTATCGGGTTCGACA